TTGCTGCCGTTGAAATAGATTTCCCCCAACTCTGCGTGCCTAAGCATAAACTCTAGGTTACTAAGTGCAAGCATTACAGGGGCTCGAGAGGTAAATTCCAAAGGGTTTTACAAGTCTGTATATAACAGATAAAGCCCCTGTTCGTCCGTAGTTAAGTCTGTACTTAAAAGATAAAGCCCTATCAGTGGCTTCTAAATTCAGGCTGTGAGCTATGGAACAAAGTAATGCCTGGAAGTAAGACTGTGTTCCAGTTTGCTCAAGACATGTTAATACCACAGCCTGGTGCACCCCTACTGCTACCGCCCAGTGAGGCAAGGGAGTAACTAACCGCCCCTGTCTTAGTCCACTCCAGGTGGGTCATACTATTTCTCTTGAATGAAAGAAATATTGATCAATTCCTAGTAATGATGTTGGTTCATGCTTTGTGGATAGACAGCCTGAACTCCTTTCCTAGCTCCACTATTTATGTGAGACCTTACTTAGCTTTTTATTTCACCTTTCTGTGTCTCAGAGTCCTAACCTGTAGGATGGGAATAATAATCCTACCGGCTCCATAGTGGGGCAGAGAAAAATAAGTGAGGTCATTCTTGGAAAGTGCTAGAACAATGTCAGGCACATGGTAAGTGTTCAGTAAAATTACCTGTGATGACAAGGATGTGCAAGCAGGGTTCTTAGACTTCTTATGCAGTAGATCTCTTCAGCATTCTGCTGAAGCCTTGACTCTCAGCATCATGTTTCTAAATGCATAAAATAAAATACATGGGAGTACAAGACAAACTTAAACACTATCGAAGGTAATTCATTTAAATGCTTAAATACTATTGCCAAAATATTTTCTAAATCTAATAAATGATATAGTAACCTGGCGTTCCCTCTCTCTCTCTCTCTCTCTCTCTCTCTCTCTCTCTCTCTCTCTCTCTCTTTCTATATATATATATAATTTATTTCAGAGAGCAAAGGAGAGGGAGAGAGAGATAGAACCATCAATGATGAAAGAGAATCAATCAACAATGAGAGAGAATCATTGATCGGCTGCCTCCTGCATGCCCCCCTCCCCCACTGGGGATCAAGCCTACAACCCAGGCATGTGCCTTGACTGGGAATCAAACTGTGACCTCTTAGTTCATAGGTCGACACTCAACTATTGAGCCATGCCAGCCAGGCAACATGGCTTTCTTTATTAAAGCCTTAAAAAGATCTACAGGTAATTGCATATCTAACAGTAGATATTTTGAGGTAGTGGTGAGTATAAATGATATTTCGAGATGTCTACCACAACTGACATGTGATATAACAATTCCGTGATTTCTATTAGTGACAGAGTTGCTGGTACTGCTGGTAAAAAGTTCTATGGTTTGTTGCCTATACTCATCATCAAAGGAAATGCTCAATTTCAGTTAGAGGTTTAAATAAAGATGTATTTTTGCTCCATCCAAGTTCATGGATCTCTTAATTTTAATCCATGGACTCCTTGAAGGTCACTGGCCCCAGATTGAGAACCCCGAGGTACATATTTTGGTGGCCGTCATCTGGAGAATGATTGCTGATTCAGTTGAAGGAAAGCAGTACATATTCTTTCCTATATTACACCTATCATATACTTGTAACTAAAAGGTGAATAAGCACATTTTAATGAAAAAAGAAAATGAAAGTGAGAAAAAAAAGGAATCTAAAACAGAGAAGGCAAATAGCTTTCATCTTCAATGTCCACTTTAATAGACTGGTAGTGGTTGCCTGGAACATTGTGTCTGAGGCTAGCTCTGGGTTATAGGAAAGAGTTATGTGATTGATTAGCAATGTCCACATGACAACAGAGTGTAAACAGCCATACCATCTGACCTAGTCCATTCATAAGCATGCTAGGGACATAAAGTGTTAGGGAGCAATAAGCTATAGCAAAAATATCACTTATTTGTGTTGTACCATTTATCTTTTTCTTTTCTTTTTGTTTGTTTGTTTTTAGCATAAATGCATTTAGGCTTTTTAATTTGCTAGTACAAAGAAGTTTGTATAGCTCTCTCTTGTATATTCTCCAAACTTCTTAAATCTATTACCAGTTAGGAGTGCTTTCAACTGTAAGAACATATATCAAATTAATGGTAGCTTATACACATAGAGGCTTATTTTTTTCACATTATGAAACTTGGTAGGTGAATCATTTTTTTTAAAATATATTTTTATTGATTCCAGAGAGGAAGGGAAATGGAGAGATAGAAACATCAATGATGAGAGAGAATCATTGATTGGCTGCCTCCTGCACGCCCCCCACTGGGGATTCAGCCTAAAACCCAGGATGTACCCTGACCAGGAATCCAACTGTGACTTCCTGGCTCATTGGTCAATGCTCAACCACTGAACCACACCTGCCGGGCAAGGTAGGTGAATCATTTTAGAGCTTGTCCACTGAGTCACTGATCACATAAAGGAGCAAGGTTCTTATATTTTTGTTCTTAGATCCTTTACTAATGGCTTTATGACCTCACACTTGTCATGTGAAGGATGCTGAATGGTCGCTATAGTCCCAAGCACTGTGTATGTGGTCAAATCATGAAGAAGGAAGAAAGAGTGGTGCCTGTCAGCTCTCTTCTTGTGTCTGCCTTTTCCATCAGGAACAAAAATGATCTTTGCCAAACGCTTGGGTTATATGATTATCCTGAAATACAAAGGGGGCTGGAAAAGCAAATATTTGGCTTGCCTGCCTCTGCAGTGAAAAGGTTTGAGGAAGAAAGAGGGTTAGAATGACTTTAGGTTTGTCAGCTAGTAGGGTCTGCCACCCTGGAATACAGAGGTCCACGAATGAGCAGGGAACTGGTAGTTCTGCCAACAAAAAGCCTAGCAGTTCTCTACTGAAAGAATTTGAAACTTGATGGATCCCAAAGGCTGGAAGTGAAATTCTCTCTTTTATCATAAAGACAAGAAAGCATGATTTGATTAACTAGAAGTTATGCATGGCCCTTGTGTAACTCTTCAATTTTAATAGCAGGCAGTCTGCATATCGAGAGATAATATTGCATATCGAGAGATAATATTGCATAACTAAACTAGTTGATGAAGATTGCCCTATTAGCAAAGTGTAATCATCAGTCATTTATGCAAACTAAGTTGACTCTGAAAACACATCTGGATTTTATTTAATCCATATAGTTTATCTCCGAAAAAGGTAGATGTAATCATCATTATCCCTGTTTTTGTACAGTCAAATGGGCGTAATAGTAAGTTGTATAAAATCGGCACTTAAACAAGCGATACAGAAACTTGATGAACACTGCAGCTGTGACCTACTGACATAGCTACACCTGTATCATACGATGTCAGCAGAACCTGGGAGGTCATCTAATCTCATCTTTATTTCATACCTAAAGAAGACTGAGGCCTATAGAGATGGACTGACTCGTTGATGGTCATGCAGTCTTACTGCTATGACAGAAACATAGCATTTCACTCCTTTCTGAGAAAAATGCAAGAGTGGATGAGAGTACTGTCTCTATGTGGTACCTCCTAGCTGGGTGCCAAATCTCAGGAGCGTTGCTTCACCTCTGAGTCAATTTTTCTCATCTCTGAAAAAGGAATAATGGTACCTACTTCTTAGGGATGTGCTAAGAATTAAATGAATTTATTCAGGGAAATCACATAGAATTGTAGCAGAATCAATTACCTCTTAGCTATTTTTGTTATTGATTTCCTTTTACCATCCATAATTATCAGCAACAGCATCCTCATCACTAGTATTACTACCACTGCTACTACATAAGGCTACATATAGTTGTCATCCCCTATAAATTACTCCTGCAACTCACAAACATGAGTTATAATTTTTATTTTTATGTTTTAGTTATTTTATTTTTCATTTTTATTATATCTATATATTTTATATACTTATTTTATTCATTTATTTTTTATTGCTATATTGTTTCAAGAAATTTAACACTATTCGAGTTCTATGATTCCAAATACATAGTGATTAAAACTTTAATTAGAAACTTTACATATGCCAAAATATATAGTAGTTGCCACCAGCTGTTGGTAATTCTGGGTTATCTAGGCCTAGTTTTTTGTTTTTGTTTTTGTTTTTGTTGTTGAGAAACCAGTAGTCTCCCCTATATTCAGTGTCTAGAAGTCAGATGCTGTCAAGGAGATAAATAGGAGAGAGACAAGTGGCAAATTGTCCTTTGGTCTCTTAAAAGTGTGGATGGGTGAACTACTTTGAAAAATGTAAACTATTCTGTACCATTGGCATTATTTATGACTGGAGAGAACAGGAAGGTGAGACAGTGAGAGAAGAGAGGGGAAAGCCTGCAGTACGTGGCTTTCAAAACAATAGATCCCAAACGTGTTTGCCCAAACTGCTTTGTGGCCTACTCTAGGGTGGGAAGGGAGAGGGAAAGATACTTTATTAGAGCTCAACATTATTCTCATTATTTCTGCACTTTAGTTTTCCTGAAACAACAACAACAAGTAGTTTTGCCAGAGTAAGTGGTATTCTCCAACCTTCTCACTCTAATAGATATTGTCCCGGGATGAGACCTTCTCCACTTCTTCCATAATAACTGCTTGTGGGGTGTCCTCTGTGTGCCACGCTCTGAATAATGCCCTTCGCTCTTGGCCTCCCTTTTGTCACTTGCAGAGGGTCTGAGCATTTCTGGGCTCCCCGGGGTCCTCAAGAGAAGACAGAGCTTCCGGTTATACACCTGGAGCTCTTCCCACAGCACCAGAGCTGTGAGACATGTGACCAGCGGCCAGGTGCACATTTGCATAGAAACTCGCATTAGAAGTTTTTTTTGTTGAGTATTGACTTTCTTTTACAACCCATGTTCACCTATAGAACTTTGTGATATGCATTGTTATTTTAACTCCATTCTATGTTTTATATTCCTCCCCTTGTCTTTCTACCTTCTCTTTTCTCTGCTTTAGATTTGTGCTGTGTTTTCTGTATGGCTGTAAGCCTCTTAAACCCTTTCTGCAACAAAGCAGGGAATACATACATAAACAGGTGAATTTTTTTTAAAAACAGGAATCGACTTAAAGCCTCCAGTGAAGTAGAATCCGTAGACCTTCCAAACTGCCACCTGATTAAAGGCATCGGTGAGTATGAGAAAATGCTTGTGCTATACCTTCCATTGTTTGGCCACCAACATTCAAAAACTCATTAACAGTATTTTGGCACGCCAATTACTGTTTCTCAGAGGAACAATTAAATTAGAGCAACAAAACCTCTTTAGCCAACCTCTTTTGATCTCATCCCCTTGTATTTATTTTTCTCTTTTACTCTCATTGTAATTTATTATTTATATAATCCTATATTTATTGTTTGCTTTCTTGCTTGCTTAGTGACATTTCTGAACTGTTTTTGTAAAGTATGTATTCTTTGTTGTATGTGGCCACGAAGATATGTGTTCCATTAGCCTAGTAGTCAGCTAGTAGAGGTAAGACAGAAGGAAAAGAAGTTGTTATAAAATAGAAAATAACAATCTCTCAACAAACATCTCTATTCCCCATAGAAATAACCCCAGAGGGTAAAGGTTTTTTCTTATCCTTCCTGATATTTCCAAGGCAAATGCAAACAAATACATGCAAACGTCAGAGATATTGCTGGTTTGGGGCCAGACCATCGCAATAAAGTGACTATCGCAATAAAGTGAGCTGTAGTCTTTTTGCTAGTGGAGGGTCTTTGTTTTACTTTGTAAAAAAAATCAACATCAAGGAAGCACATATATATCTACCTTTTTTCATAAAAGGCATCTTAGTATAAGATTATATTCTGCAACCTGCTTTATTCCAAACATAGTATGAGCAGCTTCCCGCATCAGCTCATGTGGGTCTCCAGTGGTCGGCAAACTCATGAGTCAACAGAGCCAAATATCAACAGCACAACGATTGAAATTTCTTTTGAGAGCCAAATTTTTTGAACTTAAACTATATAGGTAGGTACATTGTTATTAACTTAATTAGGGTACTCCTAAGGCTTAGGAAGAGTCACACTCAAGGGGCCAAAGAGCCGCATGTGGCTCGCGAGCCGCAGTTTGCGGATGACGGGTCTAGCCCATTCTTCATTCCTTTTGATATTTACATGTACCATGACTCATTTAACCATTTCCCTCTTAATGCACATCTGCGTGGTTACAATTTTTTGCAATGACGAACAAATTAGTGAACATAATTGTAGGTACAGCTCTTGCATTTGTCTGTAGGATAAAGCCTCAATAGTGGATTAGAGACCAGAAGCCACAAGGAAAGAAGATGAAGTTCGAATATCTTCTATTCCTGTCTTTCCCTCTTCCATTTGAAAGAAAGGACTCTGGTGTTTTAACTCTGTTACCTGACCAATGACAGAGCCTTCTAAGGACATTCCAAGACAGCATACAGTCCTGAGGTCTACTTGGAAATCCATTTGTATAATATTTCAAAGGAGATACTCTGTTGGTTTTGACTGGATTTTTAAAGAGATGAGTGATAGAGCTAACTCTTATCTGTAAGTTTTGAATTTATATTGTTTTTTCCCATTGTACAAAATCATTCCCCCTCGCTACAGTTGTGTGTGTGTGTGTGTGTGTGTGTGTGTGTGTGTGTGTTGAGGTACAAAGGAAAGCAGAATGTTTTATCATGATTTTGCTTCAGAGCTATGAGACAAATTAAAAGTCCTAAACTTGGGGAAAAAAAAGATCTCTCCTGGGTCCTTAAAGAATCTTTAAGGGGCTGATTTCCAAAACATATAAAGAACTTAAACAAATGAACACCAAGAAGACAACCCAATTAAAATATGGGCAAAGGACCTGAATAGACTCATCTCCAAAGGGGACATACAGATGAGATGGCCAGTAGGTGTATGAAAGATGCTCAATGTCACTAATCATCAGAGAGATGCAAATTAAAACCACAATGCACCCTAGCTGGTTTGGCTCAGTGCATAGAGCTTCAACCTTCGGACTCAAGGGTCCCAGGTTCGGCTCTGGTCAAGGCCACATGCCCAGGTTGCAGGTTTGATCCCCAGTAGGGGCATGCAGGAGGCAGCTGATCAGTGATTCTCTTTCATCATTGATGTTTCTATCTCTCTCTCCCTCTCCCTTCCTCTCTGAAGTCAATAAAAAACAAAACAAAAAACCCACCCCACAATGAGATATCACCTCATGCCTGTCAGAATGGCTATCATCAATAAACAACAAGTGCTGGTGAGGATGTGGAGAAAAAGGAACCCTCATATACTGTTGGTGGGAATGCAGATTGGTGCAGCCACTGTGGAAAACAGGATGGAATTTCCTCAAAAAATTAAAAATGATTGCCAAAACCGGTTTGGCTCAGTGGATAGAGCGTCGGCCTGCGGACTGAGAGGTCCCGGGTTCGATTCCGGTCAGGGGCATGTACCTGGGTTGCGGGCACATCCCCAGTGGGGGATGTGCAGGAGGCAGCTGATCGATGTTTCTCTCTCATCGATGTTTCTGGCTCTCTGTCTCTCTCCCTTCCTCTCTGTAAAAAATCAATAAAATATATTAAAAAAAAATGGAACTGCCTTTTGAAAAAAAAAATAGTGGATTATTGTTCAGTTAGTGTATATGTTTAAAGTTTTGGTCGTCAATGCTATATTGCCCTCGAATCGGCAACACATATAAACTCAGTACGGCGTATTTATGACCACATTCTCTCCACACATCATTCAAAGTGTTCTTCTGGCAGAAATAAAAGTGTAGTGACCTTTCCTAATCACACCCAAGAAGGCTTCGCGCTCATGAACCCTCTGCGTTTGCAGAGAGCCTCTTCCACTTCAAAGTTTCTTTTATTCTGTTCCTCGCCTCTCCTCTGCACATCTGTTTCCTATGTGCTCTGTCTCCTTTTTTTCCGTTGCTGCTTTTCTACTCTTCCTGGTCCCATCTCTCTTCCCCTAGACTCCTTCCTCGTGGGGCTTCTCTTTGTTGCAGTTGCCCAAACACTTAACAGGAGAATACACACTCAGTATCAAGGACCAGATGGGCCAGATCTGTGCCGAATAATACAGACAGTTCTAGAACTAAGTTGCCTGGAATCCCAAGAAACTCAGCAAGGCATCCTGCCTTCTGGCTGCCATCATGAAGAGCCCCCTCAGAATTGGTCACTAAGCAAAAGCCAGATGGCATCTGGAAGGAATGTTGTACAAGGTTGGGAGGTTGAGTCGGTGATCTTTAAGGTTACTTTCGCTGCTGAGTTAATAATCGTCCAATTATTAAGCGGCCCTTGGCCTTGGGAAGCCCACCTTCTGTGAATTCAAGTCCCAGAATAGACAGGAGGGCGCAGCCAGACACAGTACAGGACAAACTGCCAAATGGTTGCTGTTACAACTCACGGGGATGGACGGCTCCTCAGAGAAAAACAAGCCCAGCAACATTTGTATTCTGAGCGAGCATCTGTCTGTGTTGCTGACCTTTATGTTGTGATATGTGTGAGCTGCTGTCTGGAATTGGAAAGAACGGGGAAATATGTCACCTACGGTCCCTCGCGCGAAGTGTTTAATGCCTCTGAGGCGCTTCAAAAGGCAACAGAGCGAAGACCATGAGTGATTAGAAGCACATTTGGGATACATTTTTAGATCTAATTAGAATTGAGCCTTTTTTTTTCTTTCTTTTGGCTTATGCTCTGTGGTTAGCACACACTATATGAACATTTGTCGAATGCTATGTTAGCGATGCATAATGGTTAATAATAGCTTGTAACCACACGTTATATGTTTTTAACAACAGTTGCTTGTTCGGTGGTCTTTGATTACAAGGAATAGCAGTGCACTGTGCATACTTTCCCATGTAGACAAAAGCACTTCTCAGGGTATGCAGCAGGGATAGAGAGGTTCTCATTTTTAGTTTCTACTTTGGAAACAGTAGTAGCCTATACTTGAGGCCAAGTGGTTCCTCCAAGAGATAAGACCACCACCCCCTTACCCTTTATTCCCTCCCCCTCGCTCCCCAGAGCGCACGTACCAATGCTACATTTACCATGGCTGGAAATGAACTCTTTGCAACTCTTGGGTGCTTTATACATACATACTCTGTTTTAATAAATAATAATCACCTACCACATAAAATATAAGTTATGTACCTCCTGTGGAACAGAGAATGAGTTCACTGTTCCATTTTTTGTATTCCTTCTCAGTGTATCTTACAGAAAGAAACTAAAATGTTATCACCCAAGATTTGGCATACTATCAGTATCTAAATAATAAAAATTATAACAATAAGATCTAGTTAACTCTGAGGCTTGAAAGTTTACAAAATTTTCTAAATGTTTTTTGAAAATGCTGGCATTCAGAGTCACAGACTAAAACAAAATTTTGAATGTATTGTCTCTCTCAAGTGATTTAAGTTGGCAATCAAGACCTTTACAACTGCTGCTTGGGAGATTTAAAAACAGCATTAAAATTTGTAGCCTTTGTCATTAAGTACTTTATAGTATGCCTATGAATAGGAAAACAACAAAAACCCATTACTATGAGATATAGACAGTTTTTTTCTTTTTATAACAGATAAAGACCCAAGGCTCAGAGAGATGGAGTAACTTTTGCAAATTCTCTTTCTAGTATCACACTCTCCGAGTGATTAATACACATGCCTAAGTGGTAACCTAAAAGAGAAAAAATAGGCTATATTACATACTGGACACTCTATTGGGTATGGCAAGGGCTGATTTGCTGTTATGAAGTTATAATAAGGAACTTAGAGAAGAGAGAAACTTATTCTCTCTTACATGATAGTCCAAAGATAAGCAAATGGCTTAGTGATTACATGACTGTGCTCACAGTGATTACATGACATGGTCATCCTGGGACAAAGGCTGGTGAAGCAACGCAACTCTTGTTTACGTATTGCTTCCATCTCGGTCCAAGACTAGAACTCTGATTAGTTGCCATTTCCCATCAGGAAGGGGAAGAATGAAAATTTACATGGATATTAGTTTTACTTTATTTTACCTAGTAGTTGCATACATCTTGTACTATCAGATCCCATTAACCTAAACATAGACAAATGACCAGCAGGAAAAAGCAGGAAATAGCCAAAGCTCTGTTGCCATGTGCCTGTAGCCGAAAAGGGGGAATATGGATCCTGGGGAGCAGGTGGCCATCTCTGACACGGAGAGGTAATTGCTAACGGAACAAGAGGGATCAAAATCAGATGTGCTAAGCCAGAAGACTGTCTAGAGAAAAAGAGTTTTGAAAAGTTTTAAAGAAAAATATAGGATATGAGCTGGTAAAGATCTTGGTGAGAGGCATGGAAGCAAGCATTTTTGGGCAAAAGCCAACATATGGAATTGACTGCAGTTGAATTTACAAAGTGAAGTGTCTGCAGAGAGGAACCAGGGGATGGTTCTGACAGAAAATTCATTAAATGTGAGGTTGTATTTTTCCCCCAATGTGCTTTTAAGTCAGAACAAAAGGATTTAAGTCCCAGCTTTCCAGTCTGTGATCTTGAATAATTTGCTTAACCTTTCAAAGTCTCCATAGTTTGTACTCTAAAATAAGAGATAATGATATTGCTTTTTAGGGTTATGAAAGTTATATGAAAAATGTATATAAAGTACTTAAAAGGAGCCTGATACTTGGTAAACAATATATGTGAATAGCTACTACCATTACTTTACTATTATTATTGTTGGAGAAAAAATTTCTCCAGCATTGACTACCTTTCAGTAATTGCACTTAAGAGGTGACAGAGGTGAGAAGAGATAATAAACACCTATTATAGTAACGGCTGTAGAAATGAAGATGAGGCAGTGGATCTGGAAAACATTCTAAAGAAAGCTACAGGTAAGACATCTCCCGCCCGCCCCCCCTTGGAATTAGGCCGTGGATTAAACATAAAAAAGTTACAATACAGTTGAAATAAAAATATATTTTAAAAACATTCTTCATTCTTGATTATTTAAATAATACTAGTATTTGTAGAAAATTTTAATTAAAGAAAAGTATAAGGAAGAAAATGAAAATCACTCATAATCCTAATATCCAAAGAAACATTGTTGATTTTTTTCTATATATATTTTTTGTCTGTGTGTAAGGATGTATACATTGAAATAAAATAATCTTAATTTTTAGGAACTACAACTTTTAATTGAGCTCCTACTAAATGGATCCAGAAAGCAAAACTTGGACTAGAATTGTGTGTGTGTGTGTGTGTGTGTGTGTGTGTGTGTGTGTAGGGTGTCCCCAAAAATGTATACACACACTTTGAATAATTATAAAGTATTTATTAAAATACACTTCATTTCCAAAACTGAGCTATCAGCTGTTAAAAAGTGTGTATACATTTTTTGGGACATCATGTATGTGTGCTGTAGAGTTCCCCTGGTCCCTGCTCACTACTAGTTGAGAACCACCATGGGACTAGAGCCTAGTGGTTCTTAAGCTTTTTGAGGTATCCCAGATACCTTTTTGAATCTGCTAAAGGCCCAACACCCTTTTCATAGAAACATCTGCACATACAGAGAACATTTTACATTGCATAGAATTTCAAAAGATTCATAGACTCTTTGCAACCCATTTTGACTCCTTAGGGATCCACAGACCCCAGGTTAAAAGTTCTTTCACTAAATCTCCTTTCTAAGGAACAGGCAGATGGATCATCTTTACAAAGTGAAGTTCTTGGCATTTTTCTTTTTTACTTTTCTCTATTATGTTAGAGCCAGCAACACTGGAAACAACCAGCCAAATCCAAACTCATGAATCAAAACAAAAATGGCCAGGTAGATGCTGTTTGGTTTGTGTGTGTTTTTTTGACAAACTAGACAACAATCTTGGTGGAATCCTATGGAAAGTTCTTGAAAGGGAAGATTGGATTTTGTGGACTCAAAGAATGTGTCATGATTTGGCTTAATCTAAGCCATTTTTATTCCTCTTTTTTTGTGTTTGGGTCTATTATCTGTCGGCGGAATTTACACAGTGAGACTGCTGGGAAGGCCTTATGTCTAATTATTTGCTGTGCTGTGTGGAGTGTACTGCAGACAATCGATAAACAATCAATAGTAATTGTAGTCTGCCTCAGAAACAAGCGTTAGAAGCTTCAACTGGCTTAGGTGCCTGGTATTTTTCATTAATTTTCTTTTGCTAGTTTTTCCCCCCTGTAATTTAAAGCCTAAATTTAAAGACTAAACAGAAAGCTTTCTTTGCTCATGAGAACAAGCAGGCATTGTTTTTAAAGAGGGACTATGTAATCCCAGGTGTTTCATCTCTGTTAATGAGAGAAATGTCTGTGATTGCTTCAGATTGAATGAGCAGAGAAAGGGACAAGGCTATTTGCATGGTTAAATGGCCAGGAGCCCTTCATTTTGAAAGTAATATTCCCCTGATGTCAATTACTTTTGTACAGACATCTGGATTTTATCATCAGAGTGTGCAGATGTCAACTTTTTCTGTATTATCTTTGGAAATGTGGTGATTACTTGACTTTGATTGGAGTAAACATAAACTATCTAACATTTAAAGTCAGAAGTTCACTGCAAGAAGGGATTTAGACTGACGTTTATTGAAGAGAGTAGTTCCTTGGAAAAAAATCAGGACCATTCCTAAAGATACAGACACTGATAGAGTAAACAAAGTCCTAGTTATGCTCTGTTTAACAAATAACAGAATTTGAACATGACATTTATGTGTTTCTTGAACCTGCAGAAGCTGGCGCTGAAGATATTGACATCCTTCCCAATGGTCTGGCTTTCCTTAGTGTGGTGAGTACCTTCTTTTTCCCCAATCTAAGAGGAGGAGATGCAAGGGTGTTTGATGAGGCCGGCAGAGCAGTGTCTTACATTTTAAATTCCTCACTTTTAAAAATACGTTTTGGAAAAAAAAACAACCAAAAAAAAACGACAGATCAAACAGGATCTTGGAAAACTTCCTCACACTTATCTGAATTCAGAGATGAAAAAGTCTTTAGTAACTGATTTATTGTTCTTTATGTCCCCGACGCATTGCACTAACTATCCCATTGCACTAAATATTCCATTGCAATCTGTGTCTTAAAAATTTTTTATGAAAAATAATATTTGGGGCATTATTGTGAATATTTGATACAGCATCTACCTTTTTTTTCCATTCGATATTCAATTTTGAGCTGATATTCTTGCTGTTATTTATTTATTTATTTTCAGACAATATACAACTTTCCCAGACAAGGCCAATGTTTTCCTTTTTCTTTCCCGCTGAATAGCTTATCATAAATTGAAAGTCATTCACTGAGTTTATTCAACCTCTTCACTGTTCCTTCATTTTTATAAGCTGAAAATGAATAACCTCTGCAGTCATACGTTAGAAAGACCTCAAAGTTGATTGGCCTGTGAGATGCTGGCCTGCATCAGTGTACATGGCAATTGGAAAACTGTCTACGTGGGCTGATGGGGACGTTCTGAGCGCCTTTCTTCCCTGGCCGGGGCCGAGGTGGGGGTGCTGGGCATCTTCGTGGGTTCAGTTTTGCTTGAGGAAGCAGGATCCACCTTTGAAGGCAGCCTGTAATTACTCTGTTCCCTCTCAGCATCCCTTATTTTCAGGCTCTGAGATTCTGGAGGGATGTGGAAAAGTTGAAGATGCTTTAGAAGGGAGTCACAACACTAATAAAACAGTTGTCAGACTTAGGAGGAAGGTGAGAGAACTCAGCTCAGATGAGAATGAGGCGAGACCACTCGCCAGGCTCCTGATGGTTTTTACAGGAAAGACGGCGAGCGGCTGGTTGTTAGCACTGAGGGAAAAAGGAAATGCCGTGGGCTTTGGCAGAAACACCGATGTTTATATTACATTTTTAAAATACAGTTGTAAAAAAAGTGATTTAATAACCTACACAGAATTAGTAAAATGATATTTCTTGTAGGACTCTGGGTCTATTTGCACATATGCCTATCAGCTTAAGAAAAAAACAGTAGGACTAATAGTTAAAATTATACATAACTAGAGATGCAAAAATCCTGAGTAAAGTAGAAGGCAGTTGCTTTTTTAATTTTTTGAAAAGGAGGTGTTGTCAGAGATTTGTGTAACCCAGAACACACCCCTTTCAAGATTTTCTCCCCATCGGAATAAATCTGAATTTGGAGGAGTGAAGTCTCCTAGTACATAAATCTAGAGCAATTTCAGCTGAGGGGCTTTAATAGCCACAAGGATCTTATAACTGTCAACAGAATTGCCTCTGGTGTTTTTTTGTTTTGTTTTGTTTTTGTTTTGTGTGTGTATCCTTCCTTGGTTATATAACTTTCTTTTCTATTCTTTTTTTTCAAATTTAGAAATGAGCCCACTTTGTCTCTTTAATTTACTCAGCATTGTTTCTAATATTTCCCAGAATACGCTCCTTTCTAAATGAATAACTCCTACATCACATCAGTTGTTTGTTCTTCTTCCAAGCAATTTAGTTCATCCAACACATTCTGTTCATTGGTTATGGATTTGAGGGTCACCTCAAAACTAACATCACACTTAAGGAGGAGCTGGATGACACAGAAGCGACTGTAAAGATGATTTAAATGGCAGTGTGGATATGCTTAACACTACTGAACTGTACACTTAATATGGTGAAGATGTTATGTTTGTGTGTCTTTTACAGTCAGTAAAAATAAAATAATTTCTTTTAAAAAAGAGGAAAAACAGATTTAAATGTTAGGGAGAATTAAAATAACCAGGAATAGTCATCACCATCCCCTGTGCGTGGAAACCCTGCTATTCTTTATGGGATGTTGATAAAGAATAGAGATTATTAACCACTGAAGTGGTGTTGCCAGGTAGCAATAGAGAAGTTCCAGTTTATTCTACTTGCTGGCCCTGCCAGCGTGAAGTTATGTCATTTTGATAGATTTCTTTTTAATTGGAGAGAATTTCTTTTATGTCCAATTTTGTGCATAAAACGAGACTTCTTTTAGTACTCTAAAATTTGCATAGAATATGACTGAAAAAATTTAAAAGAGGAAAGACTTTGATTATTTCAGTGAGTGCTGGAAAAGCATTAAATAGAATTCAACCTGATTAAAAGATCCAGGAAAACTAGAAATAGAAGATAACTTTCCAGAAACCTACAGCAAACATAATTCTTAGTGGTTAAATAATAGCTGCCTTCCCATTAATGTTTAGAGAAGGAAGAAAACGCCGCCCCCCCCCAAAAAAAACCACACTATAACCACTAGCAATCTACTAGCGTTCTTCATAACCCAAGAAAAAGAAATATGAGGTAGATAAACAGACAAAACTGCTATTATTTTCAGATAGTGTGTTACCTGGTTTTTAAATACGTTAATGGTTGGATTCAAAATGAACATATAAAACTAAATGGCTTTCTCATGCACTAAGAAAAACCAAATAGAAAATGTAATAATAATAATAATAATAATAATAATAATATTTTATTTAGCACACCAACTTAATCTCCAGAATTTATACAGAAACATAAATGAGCAGAAATATTTAAGACTATTGTGTAAAGATCAAGCAATGAGTGTGCAATATGGGGATATATATATATATATATATATATATATATATATTTGCTATATCTATCTATATCTCATATCTTATAAATAAAGCTATAGTAATTAATAAGTAATTAATAATAATGTAGTAATTCATGTGAATAAGCATGAGTTCCCAAACCGACCAATATGGACACAGGAATGTAGTACATGATAAAGGTGACATTCGCAATCAGTGGGAAAAGGACAGACTGTGTGCCGTACACTGATCCAGTTCCTGGGTTCTAGCAGTGAACGAATGAGACAAAGTTCTGACTCAGGTTCCAGTGGGGAGAGAACAAATATATGTCAGATAGTGGCAGTATTTGAGCAAAATATAAAGTAAGGTGAGACATTGGAGAGTGGTAGCTGAGGTGAGGGTGGAGTCAGGCTGCCATTTATATTTGTATATATATGTGTATATGTCAAATAGCAATAAGTGACATTTGGTGCAGATATGATATAAAGAAATTGAGGTAAGGAGTCCTAAATCTTGGTGGGGTTTGGCAGGGGCGGGGGTGCGGATTGCTAAGGCAAAAGGGACAGGGTGTATAAAGGCCCTGAGGTGAGAATGTGCTTGGTTTGTTTGAAGAGCATCAATGGCCAAGGCAACATGAGTGAGGACAGGGTAGTAGGAGGTGAGGGCGCAGAGATGGAGTGTTTAGGGTGGGGTAGGGTGAAGGGGGTGACCAGGGCAGATCATATAGGGCCTTTAGGCTATCCTAGGAATTTTCGCTTTTAATCTGAGTAAGATGGGAGTTTTTGATCCAACGTGTGACATCATCTGACAAAATCTGGATGTTGATGTGAGACTAGATTTCTGCAGAGAGTTAAAGACAGAAGCAGAAAGGCCAGTTAGGAGGCTACTGCGTAATTGTGGTGGTGGTTTAGACCGGGGCAGTCATGGACGAAGTGGTGAAAGATGTTCACATTCTTAGGAAGGGACATATTTTCAAGGTAGAGTCAACAGGATGTGAGACAAAGAGGGGAGTCTTGACTGACTCCATTCACCAAGGCTTCTGGCTTCATAGAAGCAAAGTGCAGGCTGTGGGCTCCAGGGTCCACAGTCAGTATGTAAACTTTCACGTATCCCCACGGGGTGTCTCCCAGTCCACAAACCTTCTGGTTGCCCTCTGAAGAGACTAAACCTCTGGTCTTTTGCCTCAACTCAGAAAAATCAGTTATTGTTCATCTTTCAGCTTTTCAGCTCCCAATTATTATTTTTTCTATTGTCTCCCCTCTGCTTTCTTTGTGTTTGTAACTTTATGCCACCACCTTCAACCAAAGTCTCTATTTATCTTTTATTCATAGTTCCCACTTTAGTCCATAAAAATACTTAAGCCTTTGTATTTAACCTTTCCCTCTGTTTTGAAAAGGGTCTAAAATATCCAGGACTCCACAGCTTTGCACCAGACAAGCCTGGAGGAATACTAATGATGGATCTAAAAGACGAAAACCCGAGGGCATTGGAATTAAGAATTAGCCGTGGGTTTAATTTGGCTTCGTTTAATCCACATGGTATCAGCACTTTCATAGACAGCGGTAAGAGCTGATGAGCTACCAACATTAAGAAACTTATAATGGTTTGTAAATGACTGTGGAAAATAGATTCGGATCATGTCTGAAGTAAGAGAACAATTAACTCATGAATTATTCCTGAATTCTTCAGACAAATAAGTTGATTTGCCTCTGCCACTAACTGTAAGTTATGCTGCATTTTGAAATTTCTAACAGCACCTTAAAGAATGCTTAGACTTCATGACCTTTTTATATACCTATGATCATGGCATTAAAAATAGCCTTATTTCTGAATTAAACTATAAACAGATTATTCATGAATTCTGTGTGTGGAGTGGGAAACACTCTCTCTTAAAGGTCAGGGGACCAATGATCAGAAATAACACCAGACAAACAGTGACGAGAAAGACAGGGAAGAAGAATGATCTGTTAGGTCGTCTAACAGCTTGGACATTTAACCTTTCCTTGCCTGCGGTATTTAAATGTCAGTGTCTGCCTGGAGGTACTATGGCTGTCTTGTAAATTAACTCTGTTCTTTCAATTTTTCAGATGACACGGTTTATCTCTTTGTTGTAAACCACCCAGAATCCAAGAATACAGTGGAAATTTTTAAATTTCAAGAAGAAGATAATTCTCTTTTGCATCTAAAAACAGTCAAGCATGAGCTTCTTCCAAGGTACTTAGTCCTTTTGTTCATTCTCCAATTTATCTCCAACATTTTCAGATATTCCTCATGGTGGTCCTCTCACATATGCGTGTGTGTGTGTGTGTGTGTGTGTGTGTGTGTGTGTGTGTGTGTCTTTGTAGAGCAGGGAAAGTCAATGTCCTTCATCATAGTAATCAGTGTTCAATGCGGACTCTCTTGAGAAATGATGAAATGCTTGGTATAGAGGAGATGCTCGTCAGGGCCATCATGGGAATATTAAACAAACCTCACCATTTCTCCTGCTTTCACCTTCAGGTGACTCATCACCCAACTAACAATAATACCTGCCCGATCGAGGAATGGTAGCCTGCTTTCTATGGAGTTTGCATGTTTTGCATGGGACTAACACAAAGAGCTTTCACGGGGTTAGCGGGAGCTGTGGGCTAATGACCCTACAGAACTGGAGAGATTTGGGTTGGGAGTGGGTTGCTACTCCTTCAAGAGCACACAACTGCTTGACAATGGGACTGAAAGAGAATTGTGTTCCTCAACAGCTCAGTTTGCATTAGCCTACTGCTTCTTTAAAGTTTGAACTTGATGGATATTTTTAATTTCTACTTTCCTAACTAGGGAAGCATGTAACTTCCAATCATTCTTCCGGAATGATTCATAATAAATAGGAGCATAAATACCACCCTGGCAGCCTCTGCATGATAGAGCTCTTTCAGAATGAGGGGACCCACCTACCCTGTAGCTCCGTTTTTATTTAACAAAGGAGAAAGCAGCCCTTTCAGACAATTTTGTATCGGGTAATTGGAATTTAAATTTAATAACACTCTTGCCTAACTGGTTTTAAAAATGTAATTGTTTTTAGCATATAAATCTTTCACCTGAAGCATTGGATTATGGCAATTTCATCATCCATCTCTCTGCAAGTGTTTATGGAGTGCCTGTTCATTCTCGGCTGGTTGGCTTTGTGAGTCAGGTAGAAATTGAACAGTCAACCTGAGTTTGACTAATAACTAAGCAGAGAAACTTGGGAAAATCCAGCAACTTAGTAAATGGAAGCCAGGCAAATGTTACTGGCTTCCCAACCAGCCCACCAGCCAAGGAGGCTCCTCATCCAGCTCTATAAAGGATAGCTGGGTTCCTACATTTCTTGCTGTCAAAAAACATACTGTTGCCCAGCGGCATGGCTCATTGGTGAGCATTGACCTAGGAACCAAGAGGTCGGGTTCGATTCCTGGTCAGGGCATATGCCCGTGTTGCAGGCTCGATCCCAAATGTGGGGCATGTAGGAGGCAGCCGATCAATGATTCTCTCTCATCATTGATGTTTCTATCTTTCTCTCCCTCTCCCTTCCTCTCTGAAGTCAATAAAGATATATTTTTAAAAAACATACTGTTGGCACCACGACCTTTTATCTTTTAAAATAATCCTGCCTTAATTGCTAAATGACATGTCTTCCAATTACCTGGTACCATACAAAATTGTTCTTTGGCAAATGATTTTATAGTATATTGTATATGACAATAGCCATGTGGTTTTAGCTGAGCTTTTCTTGGGAAACCTCTTACCAAAAATTTAAAGCATGTATTGTGTAAACCTTCTGGATTCCTAATTTTTAAAGTGGAGACCAACTGGCTTTTTATGTTCTCTCACATGTTATTTTTCTCTTTCAGTGTGAATGATATCATAGCTGTTGGACCTGCACATTTCTATGCCACCAATGACCACTATTTCTCTGATCCTTTCTTAAAGTATTTGGAAACATACTTGAACTTACACTGGACAAATGTTGTTTACTATAGTCCAAATGAAGTTAAACTGGTAGCAGAAGGATTTGACTCAGCTAATGGAATCAACATTTCACCTGATAAAAAGTATGATCCCTTATAAAAGTCGTTTGATTTCTTCTCAGTCATGTAATGGGCCAAATTCTTCACTTGGTTTTTTTCTTCAGTGTGGAAATAGCTTACTTGATATTTTTGGTTATTATATATAAATATTATATGTATGTATTTTATATTATATTATTAACATAATATTTATTATAATCATATATTTATTATATAATATGTAATATTTATATATATATGATACATGATTAAATATGTACACATAATATATTAACTATGTAATTATATGTACTATTCTATATAATAAAAGGCCAATATGCAAATCAACCAAACAGTGGAACAACCGGTCGCTATGACGTGCACTGACAACCAGGGAGCTGCCCCCTGGTGGTCAGTGTGCTTCCACAGGGGGAGTGCCACTCAGCCAGAAGCCCTGAGCCGGGCTCACAGCTGGCAAGCGCAGTGGTGGTGGCAGGAGCCTCTCCTGCCTCCATGGCAGCACTAAGGACATCAGTCGGACATCCCCCAAGGGCTCCCAGACTGCGAGGGGGCGCAAGACTGGGTTGAGGGACCACCCCCACTGGGTGCACAAATTTCGTGCACCAGGCCTCTAGTATTTATATATTATATGTTTACATACAATATCTAATTTTTGGTATATATCATTATAGAATCTAGTTTTATAAATGTAATTTTTAATAAGATGGGATCATATTTACATATACATATCAAAGTGTCAGGTAGGTGGTCCCTTTTAAATGAATATGTCATTGTTATATTGGCTGTATATTACTAAACTAATTTAACCCATTCTCTGTTGATGGATATGTAGGTTGTTAATTTTTTCTGTATAAATACCATCTTATATTTCTCATTTACCACTTAAACTTATCCAAATATTTTAAAAGGAAAAACTCCCTAGGGTAGCTTTATGGTATAATGGCTAAATCTTCAGATTTGGGAGTCATACAGACCCAGGTTCAAATGCCAGCTGGGCGCTGGCTAAATGTGGTGCTAATGAGCCCCTCCTCTTACACATTTGCACAGACAGATCCTTAAAATAGACCTGTTTGCTCGAAGAGTGAGCCCCTTAAACATCTTTAATAGATATTGTCAAATTGCCCTCCGTAAGTATCTTACTATTTTTATATGTTCCACATATAAAACCACAGCTTATAGAAAGGATGATATATTCTTTATTAACTTTCCCTTTTACTGCCTTAGCCCTCTGAACAATTTAAACTACTACAAATATAATACGAAATAAATTTGGCAGTCCTTGACAACCAAATGTCTTTATTTTCATGACACAATTTCTTCTCTCTGGTTGACCACAGAAAATGAATGAGTAATCATTTAATTTAAATGGTCTATAACTGACCCAGTGCAACTTCGCCAGCCAAATCTGTTTTTCTTTCCAACCCTCATCTTTCTGAGAGTCAAACTTTGCAATCATTCAAACTAAAAAATAATACTAAAAGGGGCTTCAGCTTTAACTCCTCCTCTTGCACCATTCCTTGCTAATCAGTGAGCAAGTTGTGTTGGTTCTACCTTTGTGTCTATCCGCTACTCTCACCCTCTTTCCTTTCCACTGACATCTGCCTGGCTGAGTTTCTCATCCTCTCTGGCTGGAGTGTTAGACATCCTTCCAACTTGTTTCCAGTCCACTTCCATTCTCTGCCACCGCTGCCAATTTTTCTCTCTGTATTTCACTAGCCTTTAAGAGCCTCCAAAAGAGGGAGTTCTGTCTGCTTCATCTTGGACTCATGCTGAGCACTGCCAGGTGCAAAGCAAATGCCCAGTAATTGTTGAATGGAATGACTATTTGTTATCATGCCTCCTTGTTATTCTAAAAATTCAGCGGAACCCAATTGCTTACTAAATCAAGGCAGGCTAAAGGTTGGAATTTCTTTAATAGGCTAACTCAGACCTCCCTTTTCTACTGTTTTGGTGCAGCCCATGCTTTAGACAAAGAACTCATTATTTAGCAAACATGCCTTTCTCATTCTTGCCCCTGTGCCTTTGCTCACATGTTTTCGCCTGTCTTGATGGTGTTTTGTCCTCATATCCTCAACTCCAGTCTCTAGTTCCATATCACTGCAGATCCCCCTTCCTTTGTGAGCCCTTCTGTGTTCTCAAGAATTAGATATTTCTTCAGTCTCTAGACCGGAAGTATTTCTTATGGTAGCAGTCATGGGCATTATTGTTTAATGTGTATAAACCAGTCCGATCATTCCAATATACTATAAACTTTTCAGGAAAAAGGCTGTGTCTTTTTCATGTTTCTATCTGTCACAATACTGAGTTCATGGCTTTACACGTGATAATTGCTCAATAGAACAGTTGCCATGGAACGGTCAATTCAATGAGGGAAATTACCATAAAGTAGTCCATTAATTCACCCTTTAGACAGATTGTTCTGAATAGATACTTAACTCTTATGCTTAAAATTTTCAATATGTAATTAAATATGTTAATACACATTGTAGTAAAATGTGTACTGTTCTGTACCATAACATGTAAATGATATGTAGAAGTATCAAATTATATTGTGAAATATAAAACCTTTTTTTCTGAAGCCAAACATCTATTTCATTGTCCTTTCAGTGGCAAATATCACAGACTTTATATTCATAATGACATCCTATATTACTTTTCCTTACAAACCTTTTGAAAAATAATTGAACAATTCCGTGATTGTTGTAGCAACACAGAATTGATTTTGAAAGCTTACTTTTTAAATAAAAATTGACCTTTATCAAGCATTGCTTGAGGGCCCACCATTGATTACCTTCTCGGCAGGTTATTAAGACTCATTCTTGCATACTGTATTAATGAAGCTTTATGTTGTCATGGAGCTCTAACCAATGTGTCCTTTCTGCAAAGGTACATCTATGTAGCTGATATATTGGCTCATGAAATTCATGTTTTGGAAAAACAGCATAATATGAATTTAACTCAAGTGAAGGTAAAATATTTCTTTTTATATATAAAGTCAACATTAATCTAATATACTTTGAAATTGCATAGTTATACTATGCTTTTGCAATACCTCACTTAGAACAGACTATGGATGCCAGTGTTGCTATTTTGGGTTTTTAAATATCACCGTGGTATAACCGGCCAAGTCTCCTATTCCAGCAGTCATGAGGACTGACCGGCATTACATGCAGTGGTGGGCTGGGAATGATATGTCACCTGATGCATTCCAATAAGAATTTTCCCAATTGAAAAGACTAATAGATGAATTCTGAAATGAAGATTTATGCATGCTATCATTTCTTTTAATAATAAATGAAGGTAGAAATTGGGTACCACACCATTATTATTTTCTTCCTACTTGACAACACATATTTTAGATTGATTAAGAATTTCCTATTTTGCTTTGAATGAGTTCTTTGAGCTCACTGATCATTATGCATCTTTTAAGGAGTTCATGTTTTAGAGTTTGGTTATCAGCTTAACTTTCTTAATTTCAGGGAAGATGAAAAGCGGCTCTAAATCAGTTGATTAAATTTATTTGAACCAATATTGGTGTTAAAAGGCTGGCAGCAGGGAGGTGTGTGTAATCCCTGCCCCCCCCCCCCGCCCCCGCCCATGCACCAAGACAGAAAAGGTTAGCCCTGAATTATTTAATCAAGTTTCCCATGTTATTTAACTATTGACATTTTTTAATTTGGAAGGTACTCAAGTTGGATACACTGGTGGATAATTTATCTATTGATCCTTCCTCGGGGGACATCTTGGTAGGCTGTCATCCTAACGGCCAGAAGCTCTTCATTTATGACCCGAACAATCCTCCTTCCTCACAGGTTTTTATAGTTTTCGTTTTTCAACCTTAATTATTCAAGTCTTTTTGAACTACTAATACAATAAACCGTCATGGGGATGGTTGATGTAGTCCTTTTAAACCAATAATACAGTAAACTAATGTAGTGGTTTTGTAATTGCTTTAAGCCAATAATTGGCAGAATTTCACATTGCTCAAATACTTTTAGAAAGGTAATCTTTTGATGTATGAAATTATGGTGGCAGCTAGTCAAAAGGCATTTTTATAAAGACATGTGGCCTCCCTGTGTGGTATCCTGGCAATTTTTAAATACCTGGCTTATCGTCAGCTCACCACATGACATGGCTTTTGTTCAAGCTAAAGTTGTGTGAAAGTAGGCACATTAGTGTGGAAGTATTCCTATTAATGCTCAATTACTATAATAACACTAAATCCTGTGTTGGCAGGAAATAACTAGATAGTTTAAGAAAGTACTTTCTTTGAAGGTTTAAGAAAGTACTTTAATTTAAGCATTAAAAAAGGTTGGTAACTGCTATTTTTCAACAGCATGTCCTCTTAATCATTGTTTCATTGTGGGAGACAGGGATCATTGGTGATGGAGAGATGTGGATGTATGGTGGTTCTATAGTAATCCTTTGTCTCTCCTGAATAGGTTCTCCGCATCCAGAATATTCTCTCAGAGAAGCCTACAGTAACCACAGTTTATGCCAACAATGGATCTGTTCTCCAGGGAAGTTCTGTGGCCTCCGTATACGATAGGAAGCTGCTCATAGGCACTTTGTACCACAGAGCCCTGTATTGTGAGCTCTAACATGGACTTTGGGTATGCAAGTGCGCTCACTTCTCTTAACAATTAGTTTTCAATGAATGGCTCGTTCTGAGGGAATTTAACTAGTAAAGCTGAGCCAGGATGTATGACGTGTATAGTTCATTTTATTTCAGGAAGGAAAGGCCCCTTCAGTCCTTGTTGCACTTTTAACATAAAGGAAAATGAACAGGTTTTTTTTTTTTAAATGCCAAGTAAAGGAGAGAGAAGAAAGCTGCTTTCGGTAAAGTGAATATACTTTGCACAAAATAAGCCTCACCTCCTTCTTCCAACTGCCAGAGCATGAATTCCACTGAATCAGGGTAGATCCCATTTCCTTAAAATGTGAGTGACCTCTGCTCTAACAGTGTGACCCCGTGACTGTTCGGAACTACTGATAGGTAGCGTGTGTGGATATTTTGTACTTACATCATTGTTTACTATTAAAGAGTTGGAGTTATATTAAAGACTAACTAAAATTCTATAATAATTTGGTCTGTGTTTCATTCTCAAGGCAGGTCCTCAGGGACTATGGGAAAGTGGCTGTTTCCTCGTGGAGTTTCTTTGGGACAAGCAGGCATGGCAATGTTGGGCAATGTTAATTTCTCTCCTTTCTCACTGAGAGCTGAATGTAAATGAGCTCTTTATTTGAATAAAATAAAACAATCAACTAAATGGGGCAACTCGAATTCTCCATTGGTATGGAGTGTTCCATCAGCTCTCTTCCTACTTTGCTTACAAAGAAGAGATCAATGTTGGGGCTGGAAGGTAAAGCAAACTCCTCATTGAACTCAACTGTGAACTTCATCAGGAGAGATTGAAGTCAGCTGTCCAGGGCCTAGTACAGTTCTTTCCACTGACTGTACTTCCTATAAAACCACCTTAAGCCCTTGAGACTTTCCATTGTAACTTACTAAAAAGCACTTTACTTCACTTCTCATGGTTTTCCCCATCTTCAGCATCATTATCATCAAAATATTTGTGTTACTTACCAAGTGCCAAACAATGCACTAAAAATGGTCCATTCATTATCTCATTTAATCCTAAATACAGCCCTGAGAGAGTAGGTATTGATATTATATCACTGTTAACATTTCACAGATGTTCAGTCACACACCCAGTAAGGGGTGGTCCTCTATTTCTGATGCCAGAGGCTGTACCAGCTCCCACTTTACAGAAAGCTACCGCGACAGAACTAACGAGTATCTTGTTATTTACTCTTTTCTCTCATATACAGTTTATTTCATTTTCTTTATATATTAGTTGGATTTCTGCTTTTAGATGAGTCATTTAATGGCTTTTTAATGTAAATTACAGAAGTTTTCTTAAACCTGGCCTCTGTTCATTTGGCCTATGTTTTTATTTACATTTTTAAATACTCAGTTACTAACGTATCTTGGAACTATTTTTTGCTAAAATAATTACAGTTTTTTGCTGTTTCCATTATCCATAGGAAAATGTTAAGTCATAGATGAACAAAGCAAGATTAAATACTATTCACTAGGGATCCAAAACCAAGAAGCATAAATTTTAATTTTAAATTATAACAATGACTGTCTAAAAAGCTACTTTTGTTAAAATACCAGAATACAGTAGGTACAAAATAAACTTGTTTTTATTGTACTTATTAGAAATTTATTTGGACAAAAGTAAATATAAGTTAATAAGCACATATATTACTTGTCTTAGAAATACAAAAATAATTTTTAAATAAACGTTGGCCTCTGAGCCATGAAGGGTTCTATTTTATCATAAGTATATTGTGTGTTTATTTATGGTGCTCTTACTGTGATCATGTATTGAGTTTTAACAATTTGGTTGGTTATTAAGAGATCAAGTCATTCAAAAAGACTGAAATTGCAATTGGGCTATGCCACCACCAGGTGGATATAGGTCGAGAGCACATGTGTGTGTATGTGTGTGTCTGCATGCTAATTCCTTTTAATCCGAGATCCAGTTCAGTGACAATAAATATCCTTTTGTTTTTTCACAGTACCTCCATTCTTCTACAACAGCTAAATGTAAACATGAATATCGAATACAGGGAACGAGGAAAATAAAATATAAGCTATATTACAGCATTTTTTTCTCATTTTGTGTATTGCTTATGTAACTGGTTAATAATAAATAATCTAAGGCCAATCTTTTTTCTAGAGTTTGACTTGTTGAGTTTAATTATTTCTTGGAGTCACAACCTACCTAGGCTGGGGAATGTGTACTTGGCAAAGCAGTGAAGAACTAATAGCACCCACCACCACACCACCCACCTCCACCTTTCTTTGGCTACTTGTAGTTTTCATTACTCACTTGGCTTTCCATGAAAGGATTTCCATGTGTGAGAAGGAGAAGGGTTGGGAGAAGCCCAGTAGCTCTCTTAGCTTCCTGCTCCTGGTTTTCAAGATTTTTATTCTATAAAAAGAAGGCAGAGAAGAAGATAAAAGAGCCTACTCTAGTTTTTAACTACAAAAAAATAACTCAGTTTACTTTAAAATGTTTAGTATACTAAATAGCTTTTCTGTAGCTATCCCTGAGTTAGGCATTAGGATACAATAGTGAACCAGACACTGCTTATATTCTAAGAGATTCAACAAATGAGAATATAGATGATTAGATAGATAGATACATAGATACATAGATAGAGTGATTAGAAGGAACTAAGCAAATGTGATTAGAGAACAATTTAGAGAAACCAATCCTCCCCAACTTTGAAAAGTTTAGAGCTGAGGAAAAATTGAAAAGCCAGTTCAATGACTACCTGTATTCACTTTACCTATATCTACCAATCACCAGCTATCAATTTGCAACATTGCTTTGTTTTTCCAAGTATAGAGGCTTTTGTTTTTCTGAGTCATTTGAAAGCAAGTTGGGGATACCATAAAAAAAGCATTTAAGCCCTAACCAGTTTGGCTCGGTAGATAGGGCGTCGGCGTGCGGACTCGGGGTCCTGGGTTTGATTCCGGCCAAGGGCATGTACCTTGGTTGCGGGCACATACCCAGTAGGGAGTGTGCAGGAGGCAGCTGATCAATGTTTCTCTCTCATTGATGTTTCTAACTCTCTATCCCTCTCCCTTCCTCTCTGTGAAAAATCAATAAAATATATTTTTAAAAAGCATTTACTATAACTAACCTACTGAACATCATAGCTTAGCCTAGCCTACGTTAACCATGTGCAGAACACAATATCCGAAATACACCGTCAACACAGTACACTGTAGAACAGTGATTTTCAACCTTTTTAAAAAATCTCATGGCACACATAAACTAATTATTAAAATTCTGCGGCACGCTGAAAATTATATATTTTTGCTGATCCAACAAAAAATAGGTATAATTTTGATCCTTTCACATCGGAAAGCTATTGTGTTGGCTGCTGTCATTTATTTTATTTGACATTCTAAGGGAAAAGAGGCCAGTGCCCCTGACTAAATAGTCAGTTATTGCACGTTTTAAAAATTGTGGCACACCAGTTGAAAATCACAGCTGTAGAATTGCAGCTGTTTACCCTGGTGATCGCATGGCGGACAGGGAGCTGCAGCTCACTACCGCTGCCCAGCATATGAGAGACTATGCTACTGCATATCACTAGCCCGGAAAAAGATCAAAATTCGCAAGTCCAAGTACAGTTTCTACTGAATGTGCATCACTTTCATACCTTTGTAAAGTCAAACAATGGTGAATCAAACTATTATAAGTCAGGGACTGTCTGTACTGCAAAATTAATATCCTTGCAGTCATCCTTGATTTTGTCTTTGTCCTTAAGCATCAGAAGCTTGACCTGATTCTATCTCCAACTGAGAGCTCAAAGCTGTTCTCCTATCTCCACTGCCAGCCCCGCGTTGAGCCCTCGATTACTTCTTATCCAAAAGTTTTCCAAGTGAGCACCTCTGTACCAGTATTTTCCCACTCCAACCCATTTCCTATCTACTCCATAGATCAGGGGCCACCTTTTCTTCTCTTACTATCTCCAGGCCGGGTCAATCCTGTTCTCTCAACACACATTTACTCAGTTGAACTCACTAGAGCTACTATTTTTTCGGTTCCAGGTTGAGTCAATCCTGTTATCTCAACACACATTTACTCAGTTGAACTCACTAGAGCTACCATTTCTTTCAGTTCCAGGTTGAGTGAATCCTGTTCTCTCAACACACATTTACTCAGTTTGAATGCATTAGAACTACTGTTTCTTTCTGTTTGTAAATAAAAACAGATCATGCCAGAAGATGCTACTTTGCTTTGCTCAGACTCCTCAGCCTTCCCCACCCTCAGCCCCTCTCCCTCCAGACTGGTCATCTTTAGGAGAGGGGGACATGCATTCTTCACCTGGCAGGAACAGAAGACCCAGAAGAAAGAAGGATCAAGGAGGCTTTTGATAGCCTAACTTCCACCCAAAGCTATCCCCCCACCACCACCACCTACTCTGCTCAACTTCCTGTAACTTAGTCTATTTTTTCCCCACTTTTCCCAATTTTTCATTATTCCATCAACAACGGTGTTGGTGGCTGGGTTACTGATAGCCACAAATTCACCCATTCAACAAATTGACCTGGGTGTCCGCCCTATTCAGATTGGGAAGCAGGACGCGAAGGCCTTGTTCCAGGGATCTTGGAGAAGGGTGCGTTAAAGCTCTGCGCTTCGATTATGTTATATGCATTTGTCAGCTCTCCCACTGTCTTGAGAGCAATTCTCCAGCTCAACTCACTTCTTGCCTTCCAGAAACCTGACGTTGGGGCTCTGAACGCGTTCCCGGAGCTCCCGGCAGTTCATTTGAGGAGCTGAGCTTGAATTACGCAGCTTTTAGCAGCAAACTCCCTCTATCCACCCACCAGTGGGTGTGTTCTTGGCAAAGCTGCCAAAAGAAGGAACACCAGACTTTTACCTGCGGCTCCGGGCTCCCTCTCTGTACTTTGAGCCTTGAAGAAAAAGAGAAAAGAATCCCTGTACTTTGCGCCCTGAAGAGAAAAAAAAAAGAAGAATCCCGCTAGTCAAGGTTTCTCCTTGAACTTCACGCATAAAGATGACCTTGAATCTCCTGCGTAAAGGCAGCCTTGGGTTCCCGCACCCCCACAGAAAGATAGCCTTACCTGGGGCAGTGGGACGGGGAGTGGCCGAGACACCCACAGCGGCCAGGCGTCCCGGCAGCGCACCTGCCAGGTGGTGCGGGCGGGCGGGGCGGGCGGCGATCACGGGGCGGGTCTGGGAGCCTGCCCGCCCCGCCTCCCGGAGGACCCAGCTCCGGCAATCGGCACTGGGTACCGGGGACTATGGGGAAGCTGGTGGTGCTGACCCTGCTGGGGGTCGGCCTGGCCCTGGTCGGGGAGAGGTTTGTGGCGTTCAGGTGAGTTGAGTCCTCAGGTGACGTAGGTCAGGGCTGCCCGGTGCCGGCTTCCTAGCCGGTAGGAATAGGAATGGACCGTTTTGGGGACCTCACTCCTCAACGCCACCCAGCAAACTGAAGTGGAAAGTGAGCGAAGTACTTGCTTTTCCTAAGATATCAGGTCAGGAATGCCCCCATTTATTTTCTGAAAGTCACCCGCCCAAGCCCTCCTTCCAAGTCGCTCTCAGCATTGGGGTAGTGAAGACCTAGGGGGTGGGTAGGGGCTGAGGGAAGGGGGTGAAGAGGGGGAGAAGGGAGGATAATGGGAGATATCTCAATGGGAGGTATCTGTAATACTATCAAGAATAAAAATACATTAAGAAAAAATAAAAATACATAAAAACTCCGCGGGAAGCGCTGGATTTGAGAGAAGGGACAGACTACCAGATGGATGTTTGAGGCAGACTCTGACATGGCCCAGGGCCTGTTTTACGTTGAGGAGGGCTGGGTTGCTGAACTCATCCCAGATTAAGAGCTATTCAGACAGGAGGGGAAGGAGCTGAAATTTGCATATGTTAACTGGCATTTTGTAGGTATCTGACCTTTTGAAGTGGAAGATCTAGTGGTGATAGAAATATCTCAGGAAGAGTCAGTACTGGGCTCGGAAGAAGAAATGTTAGGTGCTGCTACACATTTCTGAGCAGACCTAAAAGCTCCGTTTGTCTTCAGTTGTCTTAGGGGAGCTTTTATTTATTTCTCTAAGTAGAAGCTGGAATCTCTTGAGGAGGCTGATGCCGTTTGGTAATGCTTTCTAGTTCAGCTTGAGTATGTTCATTGTAACATTGCTCCCAGTGCACCTGAGTGAGAGACTCATAAAAACAATTATTATTATAAAGTATATCTAAGGTGTATTTTTAAAAAGTAACAGTAAGATAAGTCTGTGTGTAGAGTCTTCCTGAATACTGTTTAATACAAATTTAAACTTATCCCTGGTATTTAAAAGAAAGTTTCACTGTGGAAACAAGAAAACTGTATTGAAAAATAATATGGCCAGTTGTTTAGATTTTGGTCAGTTGGATAAGTTGCAAAGTAAGTCAGCATAAAAATTTTAAAATAATAAAGTTAAAGCAAAGGCTATAAGGTTTAGTTATTAGGGGGGTTTGAATGTGGGGAAATCAGTTTGAGAGGGGGAGGTGGGTTAAAAGGCAAAGACATAGTGGATTAAGGGGAGTCAAAGTGCAGATTTATAGTGGACAATGCTTTATCAAATTAAATAATACAACTTGTACATTTAATTTAATAATACTGTGCAGTTACCCATACTATTAAATATTATCATTTATTTGGGCAGCAAAGTGTTGTCCCTGTATAATTGCATTTTAGTCTTTCAATAATTGGGTGAGGTTAACTGACATAGGCATATTACCCACATAATGTCCATGTTATGTAAATAAATTTAAATAAAAGGACTTGCCTACTTACTTGTTATATTACCCATAAATGATGAAAGAGAGTTCATGAATATAAAGGTAATTAAAAACCATGTTTAGACATCAATTTTGGAAGTGGCACATTGACCTCCAATGTTTTTAACTTCCACAGAGAGAGGATTAATGCATTTCGAGACTTGGAGCCAGTAGAACCTCCCAACTGCCACCTCATTGAGGGAATTGGTATGTATGTGACAGTACCAAGAGGGCAGCACAGTTTCTTGGTCCCCTTCCACTTGAATGAGGCTGCCAACTGATTTAACCTCCTGCTACTCCTTAGACCAGTGATGGCGAACCTTTTGAGCTCAGCGTGTCAGCATTTTGAAAAACCCTAACTTAACTCTGGTGCCGTGTCACATATAGAAATTTTTTGATATTTGCAACCATAGTAAAACAAAGACTTATATTTTTGATATTTATTTTATATATTTAAATGCCATTTAACAAAGAAAAATCAACCAAAAAAAATGAGTTCGTGTGTCACCTCTGACACGCGTGTCATAGGTTCGCCATCACTGCCTTAGACCTTCCACTTTACCCAACCTACCTCATCCCAGCTTTTCAAGGGGTCTCTTCAATGTCAAAACCAGCAGCTCTTTCTCAGTTCTCTTTCTTACTGATGTCTCTCTATCATTTGAAGAATGTCATTGGCCCATACTTTGCCAAACTCTCCTCCTGACCCTTCTGTGATATTTCATTCCCCTCCCTGTCTTCTTTTGTTGCCCATCTTACTTATCTTTTTTCTTCTTCCCTCTCCTTGATATTTCTGGCTGCATTGTCTCTTCCTTCAAAATGTACCTGCAAGTACCAAGAAGAATATCCCTTAACCCTGATCCTGAAGGACCTCGCAGCCTACTGAGATGTCTTTAACCTCAGAGGGAAGGCAGGGGAGGGTGGTGGGAAGAAATCAACCAATGAACTTGTATGCATATATGCATCACGCATGGACATAAAGAATGGGGTGGTGAGGGCCTAGGGGGTTGAGGGTGGGGTGAAAATGGGCTGGAAGAGGTTAATGGGGGGAAAAGGAGGACCTATGTAGTACTTTCAACAATAAAGATTAAAAAATAATAAATAAATAAATAAATAAATAAATAAGTACTTGAAAATCCATAGCTGGATCCCAAACCTCTCAAGTGGCAGGCCTTCTTTTCCACTCTGAAATCAACTTGATTCTACTTCACACTTCTGGCATTTTCTCCCTTGAACCCCCACCCACAACCAGCCCCCTCTAGATAACACTTCCACCCTTAGTCCTGCCTGCATGACACCCCCATTCTCAAAGAGACTCAGTTCACAATCCAGGAAGCATGGCTTTCCTTTGTGCCTCATTGTTCACCTGACACAGGCTTGTAGCAGTGTCCTCCCACACAGGGCTCATCTCACCTGCTAGTGACTGCTGAGACTGCTTATTTGGGCTCCGAGCCTCCAATTTCCCAACACTTCTACTCGAAAAAATAGTTCAGTTAGATTCTGTTCACTGTTCTGGGAATGAGTGTTTTTCACTCTCTCACCTTTGCTCATGCAATTCCCTTCGCTGATTTCTTCATCTCTGCTTGCTGAAGTCAGCCGCAAATTTCCCTCCTACCTCTAAGTTCTCACAGCACTCTGAAAGTCTGGGTCACTTATGACACCTATCACATGCTTTGTTTTATAACTAGCAGTGTTTTCTCTTTCTCTCAATATCAGATTGCAAACTCCCTAGGGTCAAGGACTTTGCCTTATTTATCAATATGTGACAGGATGACAGCATAGTTTATTGTGATAGGAGTTTGTAACATAGATATAAAAAATCAGAAAGAATACTGATTTTTAATTGGGTTTCCCCCCCCCCGTCCCGCCCCCCTCAATTTCTACAAAAAGTTGCCTGGCCCTTGTGTTTCCTGGTCTTAAAGGAGGTTTGTGCTGCCGGCTAGAAAGCAGAAAGAGCTGAAGACCAACTCCTTCCTGATTTTCATTTTCAAACTCTGAGCTCCTGGAAGGGAATCTGATAGAGAAGGAATGAGAATATGTGGGGTTTTTAAATAACAGGGACCCTTGCCCCCCTGCCTGGCAGTATCCTGGGGAAGAAGCAAGACATGGGAATGAATGGCAAAAAGGCATCTTTAAGAGGCTGGATTATTTTTACTGTGTCTCCCAGCCTCAACCAAAGTCAGGTGCCCATGTAAGTCATGGAAGTGGCAGAATTGTCTAAATCAGCGATTTTTAACCAGTGTGCCACAAGAATTTTTAAAACATACAATACTTGACTGTTTAGTCAGGGTCGCTGACCTCTTTTCCCTCAGATTGTCAAATGAAACAATGACAAGAGTCAACACAACAATAGCTGTCCAGTATGAATGAATCAAAATGATACCTACTTTTGTTGTTAGAATGATAAAAATTTAATATATGTTTGGGTGTGCCACAGAATTTTAGTAATTAGTTTATATGTGCCAGGAGATGAAAATGGTTGGAAATCACTGGATTAGCCCTAGCTGGATTGGCTCAGTGGCTAGAGTGTTGGAACTGCAGACTGAGCAGTCCGTGGGTTTGATTCCAGTCAAGGGCACATGCCGGGTTGTGGGCTTGATCCCCAGTAGGGGGCATGCAGGAGGCATCCAATCAATGATTCTCTCTCATCATTGATATTTCTATCCCTCTTTCCCTCTCTCTTCCTCTCTGAAATCAATAAAACTATATTTAAAAAAAGAAAAGTAAATCAATGATATCTAGATCTACACTCAGATTATGTAATTCAAACAGATTTGAGAAGTTGAAACTACAGCTAATGTTGTAAGACATAAATCAACATACTGATTATCCAAATATTTTGAAGAGAATGATTTAAAGGAAGTTGGCTGAGATAGAAGGGAAAAAATGCCTTATTACTCCATAGCAGGTTCCATTTGTTTTTTTAGCTGACTGTCAGAACCGTTGTTCCAAAAATGTGACACAATTATAGGATTATAGGATTAATTGGTAGTCATGCTTTGGCATAACCCTTTCTAAGGGTGCCTTAGGGTATCCTCTTTCTACTTTGTGTGACCTCTCTGTAGTTTCTCCTCAGTAGCTTGAAAGTAGCCAGACTTCTTACATTTAGGTTCAGGGCTCCCAAGATTGATAGATTGAGGAAGAGAGAGAGAGAGAGAGAGAGAGAGAGAGAGAGAGAGAGAGAGAACACTAGAAAAAGCTATGGCTGTGACTTTAAACTTGTATGTCTGTTCTGTAGCATCACTTCCACTTCATTCTATTTGTCAAAGCAGTTACAAAGGTCTGCCCAGGTTCAAGGGAACAGAATATAGACTTTACCTCTTGATGGGAGAGTATGAACATCACATTTTTAAAAAGAGCATGTGGACTTGATACATATTGATTCTACCATATTTGTAACATACATTTCACCACACTAGATAACCAATGCCTTCGCTCTCAGTCCTGCCTGCTTGGACCATATCACCTGTGGTTCTATCTCTCTACTAGGAGACATGCAAGCCCCTTTTTCATCCTGGTCTCAGTCATAAGTTACTGATTATATGCTTTTTCCCAAAGAAAAACACTCAGGGCCAGCTCTCAATGGAAAGAGATCTGACCAAACTCTTTACATTCATTTACATTTAATAGTCCATCTTAAGACATATTGCCTTTGTAAAAGAGAGAAATTACTCAAAAATTTCTCATATGATTAGATAATAGTAGAATTTTTAAGCCTCAACAAGTTGGAAGAAGAGAAATGCTTGGGAGAGAGGCCTTTAAGAGGCCTTCAAAATGATGACTTTCCAAATGTTATCACTTGGTCTGTAGATCAAGTTTTCTATGGGGAGTAAAGCTGAATCTCCCAGCTAGATGTAATTATTTAAAGAGTAAATCTAGGATATCAATTTATTTTATAGTTATTTGTTTTTTCTACTGAGATGGAATTCTAAGAAAAAAATTGGAGTCTGACTCAGGTTTCATTGTAGAGTAGCCTGCCTGTGGGATTCTTGAAAGTTAATATAGTTTCCCAAGTAAATAGTTGCAAAAAGTCAATGGAGTTTCCAAAAGAAATTTAAAGTTTTGACTGTGAGATTTATCTTTTAAGCTTTCAAACACGCATCTTTCTGATCCTCTACTTCTTTTGCAGAAAATGGCTCTGAAGATATTGATATACTTCCCAGTGGGCTGGCTTTTATCTCCAGTGTGAGTATTTTCCATATCCCTCGGATATAACTGTATAGACAGCACATTAATGTTGCTGACTAAAGCTGACAGATGGACCCCTACACACTCATCCCACCTGCGGGTAAACCAGTCAACTAAAAAAGCCAAAACAGGATTCTGGAGAGCTAATCAGGACACCACAGGAATGCTCAGGCCTGCTCCCTGTGGGCAGTTTCATACTCAATGGGAACTCAATAAATGTGTAATGATTTTCGTTCAATTCCTAAACTAATCTGCAGATCTGTCCCTCAGCTTCTACTAGTCACCTTCTCAGTAACTACTATTCCTCTCACCATGCTTGCCTGTGTTTGGAGCTCAGTAAATGTTTGTAGATTGAATGTTGACCATGTTACTCGATTCAAAACCTTAAACACTTTCTGTCACAGGTTCCTTATTATTCTTTCCAGCACTTTATGGAGAAGTAGAGAAAAGCCTGCATTTTATTCCCATTACCTTTCACAGTTTGGGATGATCAGGAAACTGTAAGGAACTGAAGATATTGAAAATTGTCATAAATTTGTTAAATCAGTTGCAATTTGAAATGAGATGGAATATGTTGAAAGGGATTTACTGACTACACTTTTAATGTAAATTCTGATTTCTGGAATTGCAAGTCCTAATGTTCCATTTTAGCCAAGAAAATACTACCAAATAAAATGAAGTTTTAGATCTATATCATTTTGGCCAAAAAAGGTGGGCACATATAATAATCATTCCTGGTCTAAATTTCTAAATTCTTAAATATGCGCCATATCATTAAGGTCTCATTTTTATTTTAAACTACTTCTGGCGGTGGTATGTATGGGGGTGGGCAAGTGGGAGGGATTTTATTTCTTTAGGTTTCTTTCAAAACCAAAGATAAAACAAAGCTGTCTAGAAAATCTTTTTCTTTGTTGACTTAAATTTTCTATTGCCAATTTAGATTTTCAATGTTATGCCAAATAGATCTTTTGAAATGATGATTGTATAGCTAGGAGATTTCTTTGCAGTTAGGAAATAATATTTGTAGTTCTTACAGTATACCTTTTTCTATTTTCATTGGAACTGAACGTACTGAATTGCTGCTCTATAGAAAATGAGATTTTCATCACAAATAATGCCATGAGAAATATTAACCTGAAAGTTTTAAATAATGGAGGTCTTTTTGTAAACTAACAAACAACTCATCCTTATAGGCTAAGGAGGATGTTTGTTGCTTATTTTTAATCTTTATGACTGTAATAAAGATTATCAACTCCTTGTTCTTATTTTTTCCTGTCCCCCTTCCTTGCCATCCTAGAACATGTTTGGAAGCTGCTGATTTCAAGGGTAATTCTGTGCGGTAGATGTTTTTAGTCTACCTGCTTCCTTACCTTGGTCCTTGGCATGCTTCTCTTTGCCCGCAAGGTTACTCTACCTCTTTACACATGTCACTAACTTTTAGTTCTTTGTGAGGTTTCACTGTAGTGGCACCTCAGTTCCTGAGGAAACTCTTTTCTAACACTCTCTTGCTGAGTGAGATCCTCTTCTCTGGTGCTTTGGATTCCCTGTGCTTAGACCCTTACATTCAATACCACATCTGATGGGCTTGCTTGGTGCTGTCTCCCTAGATTTCAAGTTCCTCCAGGCCAGGACTTTGGAGTGTTCATGACCATGCTCAGCACCTAACACACTATCTGGCATACACAGGTGCTTGACTATTTACTGAATGCATGTGCTCATAAATGAGGCCAGTGGAGGATTTCAATGCCTGTCCACACATACCTGTAGTATGTTGGGGAAAATAAGATGCCTGCATCTCCAGGTGATTTTCACCATTTTCAGTGGTGAATGATATAAAAACAATTGCTTGTAGTCAATTGCCACAAATTCTTACCCAATTGCCTTAAACAGAAAACCGAGTGAATGAGAAGGCATTTTATCAGAGGTGTTTCATTCATCATGACACTTAATCTAGGCCAAGTTGTTTGCAATGCTCCACCCTTCATCTCTAGAACAGCAAGTCTTTCTACTAGTTGGCAATGCCCTCACATTCCCCAAGCTACCATGGTACTTGCCTGTTATGTTCTGCCCTGACCCGCCTTCCTGGGCAATAGTCTCTACTGCCAAACCTTTCTTTATGGTGTGGTAATGAGGCTGTATAATTAATAATCTGAGTAATCTAGGAAATTGGCTTCCCTGGGCTTAATTTTCCCCAGGTAAAAAGGGAAGGATTATATGTTTCTGACATTTTTTCCCTCAATGGTGCCATTATCTAAGCTACTGGACTTGGTGACCAATTGACTATTTGGGAAAGAGTAGATTTAAAGACTGGATTTTATGGCCTAATAATGGGGAGAATAGTGATGCCTTCAAAGGAGAATAATAGATATGAATGAGAGGCAGGATTTGAGGAGAGAATGTTGATATTGGTTTTGACAATTTGATTATGGGCTGCCCTTAGGAAGAAGTTGGGAATGCAAGCTAGAACTCCAGAGAGAGATTCTTGTTGAATGTGTAGATTTGAAAATCATTGGTATAGAAGAAATATCTGAAATCTTATGATCTGCAAGGAAGGAGTATAGAGCAAGAAGGAAAGAGGGATGGACGAGGACAGAAGGAGGAAGAGGCAAGAAGAGAAGCAGGACTTATATCCTCCTCCTCTGCCTTCTTCTTCTTCTTCTTCTTCTTCTTCTTCTTCTTCTTCTTCTCCTTCTCCTTCTCCTCCTTCTCCTTCTCCTCCTCCTCCCCCTCCTCCTTCTCCTCCTCCTCCTCCCCCTCCCCCTCCCCTTCTTCTTCTTCTTCTTCTTCTTCTTCTTCTTCTTCTTCTTCTTCTTCTTCTTCTTCTTCTTCACAAGAAACAAAGGGATATACAATAGTGTCAAATGCCACAGAGATATAAGCAAGAGAAAGTAGAGGGGTTTTCACATGGGATATTTTGGAGGCCATTCATATGACCTTTATAGAGGCATTTCTATAAACTACAGAATTACTGATTTCTGAAAGTTTGAACAAATCAAATCTGGTAACAAAATCAAGTGATGTTTTCAAGAAATTTGACAGTGACGAGAAGACAAAATAAATGCATGTTTGAAGAAGTAGTAAAGTTAAAAGTCCATTGGTTTCAAGGAATGAGAAACGAGCAATTTTTCAAGCAAAAGAAGGGGACATTGGTAAAAAAAAATAAGTGCTAAAGCAAGAGAGAGAGGACGTACTTTCTGAAGACAGGGCCTAGAGAACAAGAAATCAAATAAACAGGTGGTGGAGTTAACAGAAGAAGGCAGACTGGTGCAGCCACTATGGAAAACAGTATGGACAGTTCTCAAAAAATAAAAAATGGAACTGTCATTTGATCCAGCGATCCCACTTCTGGGAATATATCCTAAGAATCCAGAAACACCAATCAGAAAGAATATATGCACCCCCATGTTCATAGCAGCGTTATTTACAGTAGGTAAGACTTGAAAACAGCCTAAGTGCCCATCAGTAGATGAGTAGATAAAAAAGGTGTGGTACATTTACACAATGGAAGACACTCTTCTGTAAAAGAGAATGATCTCTTACCCTTTGTGACAGCATGGATGGACCTGGAGAGTATCGTGCTAAGTGAAATAAGCCAGTCAGAGAAAGACAAATATCATGTGATCTCACTTATATGTGGAATCTAATGAACAAAATAAACTGATGACCAAAATAGATCCATAGGCATGGAACAGAATAACAGATCTCAGAGGGAAGGGAGGTGGAGAGGAGGGGAAGCGATTAATGATTGCTTAACCCATGGACACAAATAATTGTGCAGGAAAGGCCTGGGGTGGGGCAGGGGTTGGATGGAGCGGGGCAAAAAGGGGGAAAATGGGGACTTCTATAATACTGTCAACAATAGAAATAAATAAGTAAATACATACATACATACATACATACATACATAAATATGAAATGGAAGGCTGACCAAAACTGAGGTACAGAGGATTCATTAACTGAGCAAAGAGACATGCTTGAGGATGAGCTTTCGGTCGGTCCTCTGAGTTCCAGTCTGGGTCTGTTCCCAGGAAGATGGACAGGAGAATCAAGAAATTCCACCTTACTTCCCTCTTTAATATCTTCCTTTCTTCTCCCCTGAAGTAGTTCCTTGCTTACATTCTATAGTTGCAGAAAGAAGAAAGGAGAACATCTTCAGACATTGGGTTAGTGCTCTCCTTTTAGAAGGAAAGTGGACATCACAGCACAGAACTGGTACATACGCATGTCTAAGAGCCCTCTCTCCCAGGTGCCAGGTCCTGGTGACAGTTTCTGACATGCTGATAAAGAGTGTGCTATTGGCCCCCTACAGGTGTCTTGAACATCAAAGTTTTAATGTCAGCAGTGAACATTTAAAATGAATGTGGCATGTTGCTGAAAAATTACCACGTAAGCAAATGGATGGCTTTTTATTTAGCTCCTGAAAATACCATACATAGAAAGACATTCTTAACCATCTGGAAATTATTTTGAGGAAATTAAAGTTCAACTCTGTCAAAGAGGAAGAAAAGAAGAGAATTGATAAAATTGAAGAATTATTGAGTCGGAAAGCAGGGAGTCAGAGGAAATTGATGTTGGATGGCATATTTGTTTGTGATTTTCCCACCAGAAATATAGGAGGTAAAATTACTCATTGAGAATAAAGAGGAAGATAAAGAAATAAATTTAGGATAAACATTTGGAGAAATGCAATAGATTGCCTATTAGAATGAACAAAAAGGCTGATAAACATCATTGGATGTCTGATTAAAGTTGAGATGATAATTTTGTATCTAAGTTTTTTCTCCTGATTTAGACTAGCCCTGTAAGAGGTGGACCAGGGCAAAGGGAGTTGGTAGGGGATTTGATAAGTAGGCAGCAAGCAAAGGGTGTGGCTTCCTTAGGAACAAGTTGTTGATTGATGATAACAGATATGAGGTCTGGAAGATTGTAGCTCGGGCATGCTGCTCTCTCCTCCAGGTGTGGTGACTTAAGTAGAATGTAAGAGGGCAGAGCACCTTTGATGTGCTTCAGTGTTTCCTGCAGGTGAGTCAGCTTTCCAGTAAGATTTAGGCATAGAAGGATTATTCTAAGAAAAGCTTGAAGATTAGATTCACTCCCCCAGGGGTGAGGGCCAAGAATAGTGTTATTGTAAGTATGTGAGTGTGTGTGTGTGTGTGTGTGTGTGTGTGTGTTTATAAGAAAAGGAGGGGAAAAGGAGAGAGAGAGAGAGAGAGAGAGAGAGAGAGAGAGAGAGAGAGAGAAGTAGGAAAGAAAGAATTTAAATTGAGTATAAATGGAAAATGAGGGTACAAGAAAAGATACAGGGTTGTTAATATTAAGGTTGATATTATCGAAGTGATGGGGGAGGAATGTGGGGAGGAAGTTGCAACTTGTGTAGAATAAGTCAACCCCAAGATTTGATACAATGACCAGGGATGCAGCAAAGGCCCCAATACATTCAGGATGCCTATGATTGGTTTATAAATACCTAGTCCTCCAATAAACAGGGACACTCTCCAAGAACTTTTTGCATTATTTAGAGAAAAAGATTCACATTCGAATTTTCAGACATATCTATAAGAACAAAATAGGTCAGAAATAGTCAATTCTTTGAGACTAGTTTCCCAACGTTAACTCTTGGCTAATTCTACTATGAAATGTAATGGATGTCAGGATGGAAGCAATACAATGACACTACACACCCCATCTCTCCACTTTGAGGAAGGTTAGTTATAGAATATCAGGACTGGATAGAGTCTTAGCTATCACACATTTTAACGTCCTCATTTTCTAAAAGAGGAACCTTAGGCGCAGACAGGCAAGGGACCCACACAAAGTCACACAGCCTCTCATCTCTTGCACGGTACTTTTTGTCTAAACGCTTTCTTTCTATGTCAAAAACTGACTTTGGATTCTTCCCATTCCCAATGGTTTAAATGACATTGCTAATCCCTCAGATTAGATAATGGCAACAGCTGACAGATAAAAATGTCCCAGAAATCTAAAAGAAGTTTAGAGTTTTTAACATCTTTGCTAGACTTTGAGCTTTTAATTTCCTTATGAAAACATTTTTTTGATATGTATATATGTACATACTTATTCTCTGTTTTTTAAAGGGATTAAAATATCCTGGCATGCCAAGCTTTGCACCAGACGAGCCAGGACAAATCTTCATGATGGATCTGAATGAGCAGAACCCAAGGGCCCAGGCACTGACAATCAGTGATGGTTTTGACAAAACATCATTCAATCCACATGGGATCAGTACTTTCATTGACAAAGGTAAAGCTTGAATGCTTAAGAATAAGGGGGAGAATGAGGGAAATGGAATTATATCTCAAAAAAGCTGTTATAAAAACAAAACATACGTATTAATACATTGTTTATGCTTTAAAACAATTTCAAATATTATTTTTCAGTTGTTGATGGTTTCTAATTCCAAATTAATTTAGTTTTTAAGTGCCTGTGGGACCATAGAACACATAGAAAATAAGAACAGTGAAACTTAATAGTAACTACATAAAGGGAAGACCAAATGGAAGTGTTGCAATTCAGAATGTTTGAAGAAATGGTGCTTTAATTCTTCCAAATACCTAATGGAATTACAATGTATTGTTAAGTATAAATTTGCTGGACTGATTTAATGATTCATAATTATTTCCATCCACTTATCCAATAAGTTTGGTCTGCACCAACAGACTTGTTCAAGTTTACATAAATGGGTATCTTTAAAAAAATGCTTGAATACTATTTTATGAAGTAGGTTAAATATTCCCCTGAAATCTTATGTAGGGGTGGGGGAAAGTAGGTTTACTGTTCCACTGTGACATTCTTTTGAGTTAATAAAGCTATTGAAATAATCATAACCTGCATGTCTTTTTCCATGCAAACAACTGTAAACCTTCTAAGATTTTCCGCCTGATTTAGACTAGCCCTGTAAGAGGTGGACCAGGGCAAAGGGAGTTGGAAGGGGATTTGATAAGGAGGCAGCAAGCAAAGGGTGTGGCTTCCTTAGGAACAAGTTGTTGATTGATGATAACAGATATGAGGTCTGGAAGATTGTAGCTCGGGCATGCTGCTCTCTCCTCCAGGTGTGGTGACTTAAGGAGAATGTAAGAGGGCAGAGCACCTTCTTTGATGTGCTTCAGTGTTGCCTGCAGGAGAGCCAGCTTTCCAGTAAGATTTAGGCATAGAAGGATTATTCTAAGAAAAGCTTGAAGATTAGATTCACTCCCCCAGGGGTGAAGGGCCAAGAATAGTGTTATTGTAAGTGCGTGAGTGCATAGGTGCATGCGTGCATTATTTATGTGTGTGTGTGTGTGTGTGTGTGTGTTTGCCCACCCCTGTATATCTGTTTATTTGCTTAGCAAATCCTTCTTTAAAAGGTAATTATACCTAACCAGTCACATAACAATTTTATATTGCTTTATAGTTTATAAAGCATTTTCATGTATATGTGATTTATTTAGTCCTCAAAATAAAACCCTGTCCCAACCTGACACTTCTCCTCTCCCTGCACCATTCAGTGAACTAGTTACAATGCTCTAATTTCCCTCTTATCCATCTCTCAAGCTGTCCAGCTCTTCCCATCCTCACTGCCACCATCCCAGTCCAAGTGCCAAACATCTTTCCCATGACTGCACCTTCCCTCTAATGCTACCTCAATCCATTTCCATAATCAAGAGTTATTTTTATGCGAATCTAATCATGTCACTCTCTTCTTAAAATGCTCCATGTTGTTCCCATTACTCTGAAGATCAATCCCAAATCTTCAAAATAACCTGGGTTCCTAGGGGCTACTCCTACACATTCTGGCATCTGGGTGCTCCCTCCAGCCTCACCAGACACCACCCTCCCCCTGACTCTCCGGACCAGTCACATTGGATTTCTTTTAGTCCTATAAAATGCTACCTGCCTCAGGGCCTTTGCATCTGCAGTTCCCCATGCCTGGAATATCTTTCCACTACTTCTGGATTACTCATCCTCATCAGTCAGGCCTCAGCTTAAGTGTCACCTTCTTAGGGAAGCCTTCCCCAACCTGTTTGAGGGCATGAACCTTATTATATTTCTTCTCGATGTACTTCTTTTAGCACTCATCAGAATAACAACTAATGTTTTCTTATTAATGTTAAAAGGTACCAACCTTCTACCCCTCTCCCACTAGTCCTCTCGGTTCTCAACCTGTGGGTCGCGACCCCTTTGGGGGTCAACCGACCCTTTCACAGGGGTCGCCTAAGACCATCAGAAAACACATTGAATATATAATTACATATTGTTTTTGTGATTAATCACCATGCTTTAATTATGTTCACTTGTAACAATGAAAATACATCCTGCATATCAGATATTTACATTACAATTCATAACAGTAGCAAAATTACAGTTATGAAGTAGCAACGAAAATAATTTTATGGTTGGGGGTCACCACCACATGAGGAACTGTATTAAAGGGTCGCGGCATTGGGAAGGTTGAGAACCACTGCTCTATAGTGAGCTCCTTCTAGTCTTTGGAGCCAAGCTTACCTGTCACTGTTCAAGTGGCTGCACTCTATGAAGAAGGCATCTCCTACTTACGTTTCTTTTATTTACTATTCATTTCCTCCCTGTTTTCCTATCTAGAATATAATCACCACAAAAGCATGTGTGACTTGTTCATTGCTGGATTCCCAGAGTCTGGAACCATATCTGCTGCTCTAGAACATGTGTTAAATGAATAAATGAATGAACCCTATGGCACAGGCAGTTCAGATATTAATGCTCAATTTTATAGATGGAGAAATGAAGGTGAGAGAAATGCAGTGAAGTGTGGCTTCACTTTTGTCAGGAGTAAATGGCAGTTCCAGAACTGGAACCCCCGGGGGGCTTACTTCTAATCCTATGTTCTTTATTTGGGTAAAATTAGGGCTTCAGGCTCTACTTGAATAATACAAAGTCACCACTTTTTTTTGCCTGACACAAAACTAAACATGTTGCTTCACTGGAGAAGTTGTAATGAGTAATCAGATTAACCTGGAGCTATTTTATTTCATGGGATAGCGTTGGAGGAGGAGATTTTTTTTTTTGGCGGGGGGAGGGGAGGGTTGGGGGGAGGGGAGAGTGAGCCTTGATTTGAGGTGTTTGTTTGTTTTTTCCCCTCAAATGGGACCAGTTTAAAGTTTACAGATTAACCCTTAGGCATTTAATCAGGATTTCAGAAGCTCAGTATATTATGATTGGCATCTTATTTTATTAGTCACCTCCCTTAATTATGCATTTAATTCATACGGCCAAAACATCACATATATATTGGAATGGAATGAGAAGACAAAGAACATTATTCTCACCAAGCATTGCTTTATGGAAGGAGGGGCTCAGTGGGGGCCTAAAGAAGGGTAGGCCCAGGGCAGCACACATATTGCTCATGCTGTGTTTGGCAGGAGTGTCTGGCTGAAGAGCCACGTGAGGACTAAAATACAACTCAGTTCTGCTTGCCAAGCCCCTGGCCCTGGACCAGAGCTGGGTCAGACCCAATGAAAGACTCATCTGTGAGGGAGCCCCTTTTCTTAATTTGGGTCAAGGTATCAGTGTGTTTCAGGGGCCATCTCAGGGCCCGGGTTTGCTCCATTATAGGCTTGGGAACCCCATTAAGGGAGGGAATAGAGGAGAGTCCAGTAAGAGGATGGGGGCAGGCCTTTTAAAAATCCAGAGCTCATCTGACCTGGAGCTCCTGGGAAGTCAGGAAACAGTACTTTGAGAAGTCGGATTACTACCCTCAATCCTGTTCACAGCCGTCCACAGTCCAATATGAAAACAGATAGTTGAACATTCTTGAGGCAATACCCACAACTGTCTACTCTGTTTCCTCTTGCGTTCATATTTACATTCCATGTCCACTAGGCTCACTAAATATTGTTATTGCAACCTCAGGTGGTTGACTTGCATCAGAAGTTCATTCTCTAGCTGGGAAGTATTGCTAGTTTAAGATATTCACACAGCCCTGGCATTTTTGGAACGTGTGTTGCAATGTAGGAAATATTCACCGAAAAGAATTCTCAGCAAGGCTTTGTTTGCTTGCTTCCACTTCTCCTGTTGAAGAGCCATCTGAGGAAACCATATCCATGTCCATGCACCACTGTAGTTCTGTGCCTTCCTGTTAGAAAGGGGAATGCAGGTGAGGATGAAGAGACTACGTGGAAACATCAGGGTTTGGCTCTGCCATTTGGTGATGGTAAAATTGCGGACAAATCATTCCCCTTCTGAGTCTCAATTTCTTCAATAAAATAGTGATACTGGCACTTATCTGACTTGCCTATCAAGTGGACTGTGGGAATCCAATGCAAGATGTCTGAGAAAAACTCTTGGATGTGACCAAGTTGCATACCAAGTCTAATAAAAGTTGCAATAGAAGTAAACTTATGGGAAATTATGCCTTTTCCCACTTAGACCATACTGTGTACCTTTATGTTGTGAATCATCCCCACATGAAGTCTACTGTGGAGATATTTAAATTTGAGAAACAACAACGTTCTCTGGTTCACCTGAAAACTATAGAACACGAACTTCTCCAAAGGTATGGATTTAAAGCATTTTGCACTTCTATTTATGTTTGCCCCTCTGCTGTGTGCTTTGTTTTCTTGGGTTCAGCGGGCTTCCTCAAGCTATTGTTCTGTAGCATTGTTTTCTGAAGCTTTCTAAAGGTTCCCATGGTGACACTGCCCAGCATCTCACCAGAAATTGCTGTATTAGTATTGAATATCTTTATATTTCCCAACTTCTTGAAAGCATTTTAATCCTATGAAAGTGCTCAATTAGATTCCCAGCTCTAATTCCACAACAATGCAATACTAACTATGGGGCTCTCTTTAAACACCTACACCCATTTCTAGTTATCCTGGTAGGCTGTGTCTGAGAGCCGTACCCACTAGGTGTTACAACCAACCTCAAGATGGGCTATTTCTTTGTTCAATGAGAGCTTTAAAGTGGAATTTGAAAAAAAAGCCAGTGGGCACATATAAAAATCACATTTATCAAGCTTTGATGATGTGCCAGGCGTTGTACAAAAATACTTAATTTAATTCTCACAACAGCCTTCAGTAACAGGCATGAGTAAGCTGACACTTAGTGTTTTAGATGAAAAAATTGCTCATGTTACATAATTTGTAAGTGGCAGAACCAGAGTCTAAACCTAGATCTGTCTGAATTCAAAGCTGTGCTCTCAATGACAATGCTAAACATCTTTCTTATTGTGTTGCAAAACAATAGTACGTTTTTTAGTGGATAGGTTGCCTATTTCAAGGCTGTAACAAACAATGAAAAATTTGTCTTATAAAATGGACTCAACACTGAAACAGTAGAGATTAATCTTTTCTTGAGACAGAAGAATGGGAAAATAAATGGAAGTTCACCTTCTTGTCTTTGTTCTCTTTCTCAACATCATGTATGGACTTCTCCCATAGAATCTGGGAGCAATAAAAGCAGAGGGCAAAAAAAGTAAGATTAGTTGAAGTTACTGAACTCCTTTCTCTTTTTTTAAAAAATATGTTTTTATTGATTTCAGAGAGGAAGGGAGAGAGAATCATTGGCTGATTGCCTCCTGCACACCCCACACTGGTGATCAAGCCCACAACCCGGGCATGTGCCCTGACCAGGAATCGAACTATGACTTCCTGGTTCATAGGTCAATGCTCAACCACTGAGCCATGGCAGCCGGGCTGAACTCCTCTCTTAATAAATTGTGCTGGGTTCTGAGGCACAGTGGGGACCAGGACTGCCGTGGAGTGACTGGAAACTGGACAAATCACTTAACCTGTGCTTCAATTTCCTGAGCAAAATGGTGGTTCTCTTATTGGTCTAACTCACCACACTGGTGATTGTGAGGCTCAGATGCAATAACATATGACGTCACAGGAAGAGTTCCTCAGAAATCACAGCCTGAGGGAAAACTCCATACATGACGAATTGATTAAGGAGTACAATACCAGGATGCAGAAGTGAGAGAACAGATTGAGGCAGGGAAGAGGGAGTAATATGGGTTGAATTGTGTTCCCTCAAAAAGACATGTTGCAATGTTAACCCCAATATTTCAGAACATGACCTGATTTGGAAATAGGATCATTGGTAGATGTTATTAGTTAATGCCCTACATATTGGTGGGCCCTTGATCTAATATAACTGGTGTCCTTATAAGAAAACAGGCAGACACACAGGGAGAATGCTAGGTAAAGATGGCTTGTGAGATTGAAGTGATGGATCTACAAGCCAAGGATCGCCTGGGGCTACTAGAAGCCAAAAGAGACAAGGAAGGATTCTATCACAGAAACTTCAGGGGGAGCACGGCCCTGTCAACACCTTGATTTCAGACTTCTAGCCTCCAGAACTGCAAGACAATACATTTCTGTTGTTTTATGCCACCTCGTTTGTGGCACTTTGTTACGGCAGCATTTCTAGAAACTCATATGGGAGACAGTCTATAGCAAATCCATTATCCTTCTCCCTTTCTTACCTGTCTAAGGTTAAGAAAGGGAGAAGAGCTTATCTACTAGCCTTATCTCCCATTAGTCAAAGGTTTACCTCAAGGGCTATTCACTTGGTACCTGCACAAGTCATGCCTGGTGATATCTTGTGTTTTGTTGTCAACACAGAAGCCTGAAAGTGGGAGCAAGAGAGCCACACAGGCATGAGGTAAAGTACCATAAAGCCGTACTGTGGAAAGTCTGCCAGATCCCTTGAAGAGCTGGTTGAAGGAGTGCCAACTGGAACAGGGCAAGTGAGGCTCTAAGGAGCATCTAAAGAGAACCTTAAGAAGTGTCCTGATACCCACATTGACCAAGCATTTTAAGGGGTAGAACAACGTGCTATTCTTGAGAGAATTCAATTTAACCTATGGGGTCAGGCAATACCTTTTAGAGGAAGGAATGCTTATGCTGAAAGATGACCTTGGAAAAGACATTATACATCAAAACCTAAAAATATTTTCCTGATTCATCCAGTTTTCTTTCCCAATTTAATTTTAAAAGATTTAACCTTTGTTTTACATTTTCAAGTCACTGTCTTCTTTTTTACTTTTCTAAAATGAAAATGACTTATTTTTTTATCTTGTAAGAGTAAGACTTACTTCATTTAAAAAAAATGAAATGGTATTAAAGAACATAAATGGAAGGAATAGCACTACAATTTCACCTACTCAAAGAAAATATAAAGGTCAGGATGAATTGGGTTATGCTAAAATAGCAGAAAAGAAAACCCTAACTTCTCCACAAAGTTTTCTTTTCTCACTCATGCTATGCCTCTAATGCAGGTGATATGGGGACTCAGTTTTATATTATCCTCATGTAGGACCTTTGGAGAACCACACTATGCATCATCAAGAAAGTTGCTGGTTACTATAGAAGAGTGGGGGAAGAAGCATGGTGGATCATGAACCAGCTCTTAAAGTCTTCCAACTAAAAGCGACACACTGTCACTTCATTTCATTGGCCAAAGCTAGTCGCATGGCCATGCCTAACTTCAAAGACATTGGAGAAACCTAATTGCAGAAAGAGAAGAACCAGCACTATTGGCCAACTGCACTATGACCGCCACAGATAGCTATTATAAACATTTACAAGTCCAAAGATTTGGAGTTTGAGGCTTATTTGTATATTTATTGGGTTTTACTGACTTCTGCAAAAGAGAGGAATGAGAATAACAAATAGCTAAAAAAAAATCAGGGCAATGAAAAATCATTTACTTTCTGTGGATTTTTAAAATTCATACTAGTTCATGTATACTTTTTCAAGTTGATCAACATATTGGTCTTTGTAGAGACTTGGTGATTTTGACAACAATCACTATTTTAAAACTCTCTCTCTCTCTCTCTCTCTCTCTCTCTCTCTCTCTCTCTCTCTCTCTCTCTCCCTCTCTCCACTTTAGTGTGAATGACATCGTGGCTCTCGGACCAGAACAGTTCTATGCCACCAGAGACCACTATTTTACCAGCCACTTCTTGTCACTATTAGAGATGTTCATAGATCTTCAGTGGACTTATGTTCTTTTCTATAGTCCAAGGGAGGTCAAAGTGGTGGCCGGAGGATTTAGTTCTGCCAATGGGATCACAGTCTCACCAGACAAAAAGTAAGTAAGCTCATTTATAATTTTTCTACCCTTTGACCTTGACATATTAGTGGACTCCTTTCCTTAGGAGGTAGGTTACTTCCTACCTTAAATAGTCAAATATGAGTGGAGGGATCAGGTATGGCCAGGCTTTATACTAAATGTGTGGTCTTAAGCAAACCAATTTACATTCCTGCACTTTAGACTCCATCCCGCAATGAAATGAGGCATTTGGACTCAAAGTCCTTGTCCCAATTTTCTTATGTGACCCTAGCACACTAACATGGAGAATAAAAGCATGATACCTCTGCCTCTTATGAGGCTGGAAGGCCTTTAACCACTTACACTAAGTTCCGTTACCCTGAAGTTCTTATTGGAGAGGGTGGCCCAACTTAGATTGGACATTAAATTGTATAAGTTTCAGATTTATTGATTCTCTGCAGCAGAATTTTCTATGAAAAAACATTTTTTTATGAAGCATGCAGTTTTATGGAAAACTCTTAAAGTGTTTTAAAATGGAAGGTGTTTCAAAAAGCAAAGTACTATGAGTATTGATATACTAGTATAAATTTGAGATAATAAATAGAGATGATCCCTGTGGAAAACAGCTCCAAATGTTCTTCCTCCTTTTAAAAATGATGGTGATTGAGCTTCATGGTCATCTGATTCTTCTTGCCAAGGACTAGTTTTTCGAAGTATCTTTTTGTCTTATAAGAGAACCACTTACCTCCATTCAATTTAAAGGTCCACTTACCTCCATTCAGTTTAAAGACATTCAATTTAAAGATTCCCAAGTAATGAGATTGAGTCTATATGTCATCTAGAAACACCAATTTCATTACTTTACAGTCATATCTCATATTCAAAACTTATATAAAGCACTTCAAGAATATTAAAAATACCACTCCATTATCTTTTTTTATTTTTTATTTTTGCTGTGGTTTAAAATAGCAGTGCAGTGGTACTTTGACTATTGTGAATTTTTATACATCTTCTCCACAATAAAATTTAGTGTCATCTCTTAATACTACTTGCTTCAATGTAAATGTGATTTACTTCAAAGGTATATCTATGTAGCTGATGTAACAGCTAAGAACATTCATGTGATGAAAATTCACGATAACTGGGATTTAACTCGACTGAAGGTAAGAGTACCCTGGCTTGCCCACACAACATGGCCTCTTACATTAGCTCCCACGCTTGACCTGGGAATGTGCTCCTTGAATGAAGAAAACAAGAGTAATTAAAAAAAAAAAAAGATGGTGAAAGTGTGTTCTTGCACCACTAATAACAAAGCCCATTAAAAATACTAATTTTAGCCCTGGATATTGCTGCTCAATAGTTAGAGTGTCAGCCCATGCACTGAACCATTGCAGATTCCATCTAGGTCAAGGACACGTAATTGCACTGCAGGTTTGATCCCCACCCTAGTCAGGGTAAGCGTGGGAGGCAACCAATTGATGTGTCTCTCTCCCAGTTTCCATTTCTCTTCCCTCCCTCCCTTCCACTTTCTCTAAAAATAAATAGAAAAAAATATCCTTAGGTGAGGATCAACAACAACAACAAAAAATTAATTTCAGGATCCAGAAGCTGGTGCGAGGGGGGAGGTGTAAGGAAGAAAGTCAAAACAACATCTTCACTATTTCCTCTTTGTTGAAAGGTAATACAGTTGGACACCTTAGTGGATAACTTAACTATCGATCCTGACACAGGAGATATTTTGGCAGGATGCCATCCTAATGCCATGAAGTTGCTGGTCTATAACCCCAAGGATCCTCCAGGGTCAGAAGTAAGTTCCTACATTTCTCTGAGCCCACAGGCAAGGCTGTACGACAATCTGTTGAGGCTACTTGGAAGAACTGACTGGGTCACATGCGATGTTCCAGAACTGGACAAATGTACATATGGAAAGAGTAAAGATTTTGTTAGAATGAAGAAATATAGCCCATTAACTTTTTCAGGTTACCAGGTACCAATTTAACATCAGTGTTAGACAACGTGCCCCATCATAGCAAAGGCTATACTTGCCACTGGGAATAATTGGAAAAATATGAGCTTAATTATTCATAATGACCCAGATTGGTATTCATATTTCCAATCAGGATATAAGCTCAGAACAGGCCCTGAAGTTAGGCAAAGGGAGAGTCATATACGGAACCACCTTCTTTCACACTACCAAACATGAAGTTCAAATGAAAGGGTTTAAATGACTAGTCTCAAAACAAAATTAACTTTGCCACCCAATTCTAATACTAGTATATAAATGATAGTTATTAAAGAATGTCTCATTTTAAAGATGGTATTTGTATTATTTAACATCTCTTCTGAAATAACAGTACATACCATTGGATTTTCTATGACATTAAAAGCAATAGCATAATAATATATTACGTTTTCTATAGCATTGAGATTAAGAATAAAGTAATCTTGAGTGAATTTAAATATAGATATAAATTCTTGGCAGATATAATCTGAGATATTTAGTCACAAAAATTTATTGAGCAATTATAATATGCCAGACTTTGTTTTTATACTTAGGATATACTAGTAAACAAAATATACAAAGATCCTTGCTCTTAGGGAGGGGGTACAGACAATAAACAATAAGCATAAGAAATAGTAAGTTATATAGTAATTTGAAGATGGGAAGTTCTATGGGAAAAAGTGTAATAGAGTAAAAAGGACTAAAATTATTGTGAATAGAGGGAAGGGCAAGTCCTACTATTAAATATAAAGATCAGAGTAGGCCTCATTGAGATGGTAAGGTTTGAAAGAAGATAAAATATTTGAATCTAGGTTTGGGGAGTTGGGAAATTGAGATTCAAACCCTAGCCTTGAAATTGGCCCAGGGGTAAATTAGAACATACAATTATTTCTGCTTCCAAAATTGCCGTCCTTCGGTGTTTTTTAAAAAAATAATTGTTTCTCTAATTAATATATTAGCCACAGCTTTTTAAAAAAATATATATTTTATTGATTTTTTACAGAGAGGAAGGGAGAGAGATAGAGAGTTAGAAACATCGATGAGAGAGAAACATCGACCAGCTGCCTCCTGCACATCTCCCACTGGGGATGTGCCCGCAACCCAGGTACATGCCCTTGACCGGAATCGAACCTGGGACCCTTCAGTCCGCAGGCCGATGCTCTATCCACTGAGCCAAACCGGTTTCGGCACCACAGCTTTTAAAAAATAGCAAGAAATGTAAAAAGAAACAAGAGTCCAGCCTGCCCTAGCTGATTTGCTCAGTGGATAGAGCATCAGCCTGCAGACCAAAGGGTCCCGAGTTCAATTCTGGTCAAGGGCATGTACCTCAGTTGCAGGCTCCTCTCCTGCCCAGGCCCTGATCAGGCGTGTGCAGGAGGCAACCAATCGATGTGTTTCTCTCACATCGATGTTTCTCTCTGTCTTTCCTTCTCTCTTCTACTCTCTCTAAAAATCAATGGAAAAATATCCTTGGGTGAGGATTGAAAAAAAAAAAAGAGTCCAGCCTGAACCTAAAGCCTGAAGGATTGGTACCGTAAATAGCATGCTACCCTTGCCTCAGATATGTGCCCCCAAAAGAGATAATAAAACTATTCTACAAATACCCAACAACATCTGCACTAAAAGAATGAAAATACAATCTATAAGATGATTTTATAATTGTTTAGGATCTTTTTCATGTCTCTATTTCCAAGTTTAATCATTTGTTTATTTTAAAGATTTTTTAATTTTTTTGATTTTTAGAGAGGAAGGGAGAGGGAGAGAGAGAGCAACATGCCTCCTGTACTGCATACCCCATATTGGGGATCAAGCCCACAACCCAGGCATGTGCTTGACCGGGAGTCGAATCAGCAACCTTTCGGTGCAATGGACCAAGCCCAACCAACTGAGCCACACCGGCCAGGGTTCATTTGTTTATTTTAGATAAGACTTCTTTCTTCACAGTCACTGACACCCTTTCCTTTTGGTTGAACCTACTATTTTCTACATGAATTCTAAGCTTGAATATTTTCCTGTAAGAAATTTGAGAAGTTATAGGAGTTTCCTTAAGACAAAAAGCCAAAACTCAACTGAACTATTTTAATAAGAGATGTCAATATAAACTCATGACTCATGAACTTTGAATTGGTTTTTTCTTTAATTCCTATCATGTCCTGTTTGAGTGAACGCCACCCAGGCTATTTGGAACACTGAGCACTTATATACTTACTGATTGGCAACCTAAAGTGTGGTAATTCTGGGTATCAATAACAGTATGAAGTAGTGATGTGTCAGATTGAATTCTTCGAAGTATGCATTCTGTATGCTTCCTAGCCACTTCTCCGATGCGAGGGATTCCAGCTGTGACAACTACCATCCTACTAGTTACCAGGTTGGGTTGGCTTGCTAACTGGATGTCCCTTTTTCATTTCTTCCTGTGTTTCTATTGAGGGATATGGCTAATTGTCAGACTGCACAGATGTCATTAGGACATTAATACTTTCACCATCAAAAGAAAAAAACAACAACAAAGATATACAAATTTTAGCTTATTGATTTGTGAGAAATATATTAGTCCCAGAGTATTTGGGAAGGAAAACATCACTGGCAGCTGTTTGTTCATATAGTGCACTAACAGTTAATCTCTTCTTGGCAGGTACTTCGCATCCAGGATGTTCTGTCTGAGAAGCCCAGGATAAGCACGGAGTATGCCAACTCGGGCTCTGTGCTTCAGGGCAGCTCTGTGGCTTTTGTGCACAACAGGAGACTTCTCATAGGCACCGTATTTCACAAAGCTCTGTACTGTGTGCTCTAGACTCCAGATGAGCCAAGAGTCTACATGTTTAGTAAAAGTAAAACCCTAATTCTAGGATGAGGGGACTGCAAGTAAATCACAAACACCAACAAAAGTGTGTCTGGCTTTCCTTACGGATAGAATTAAAGAAGCAGAGAGATTCACCAAGTTGCAAGTCAAGGTAGTGACAGTCCAACAATGAGCCAAATCTCTCAACTGTTTTTGTCCAGTACTCCCAGTATTCTTTCCACCTACGACTCGTTGGTCACTGTGTGTCAAAATCACCTCCTACAACTGTCATGTTCTGAGCCTGCTGCAATCCAGCCCAGGAGAAAATCTAATGTTCAAATATTTACAAGTCCCTTTCGCTTTCTCCAATTGCACTAGGCACACACTGCTTATCAAATGCCCAGCCCATGGATAAAAGCAAGAATTAGCATCATGAGACTCTCTCCAAAGACCTCCTCAAACTTGCATTCTTCCCAATACAGACACAGGAAATCAGGTTCTTGAAAATCTGACTGGGGAGGCCTCACTTAGTTGCAAGCAGAGCTGGTTTCTTCCTTTGTACTAGGTCTTTATTTGTAAAGACCCTAATCCATGGTCTCACTTTCCATGGTTTCAGTTACCTGTGGTCAGCTACAATCCAAAAATATTAAAGGAATAATTCCAGAAATAAACAAAAGTTTAAAATTGTGTGCTATTCTGTGATGAAATCTTGAGCCATCCATTCCTGGCCACCCGGACGTGAATCATCCTTTGTCCAGTGTCTCCATGCTGTATATGCTCCCTGCCCCTTCATCACTTAGTAAACCTCTGTGTTATCAGATTGACTGTCACGTGGAATCACAGTGCCTGTGTTCAAGTAACCCTTATTTTACCTAACAATGGCCCCAAGGCCATTCACATAAGTTTTATCATAGAACTAGAGGCCTGGTGCACAAAATTTGTGCAGGGGGGGAGGAGGGAAGCAGTTCCTTCAGCCCAGCCTGCACTCTCTCCAATCCAGGACCCATTGGGCAGGAGACTTGGGGGATCTGATTGCTGAGGGGCCAGTGTGGGCATTCACAGGAAGGGCCTAGAAAAGTCACAAGGCACTGGGGTTCCTCTTCATGTAGACACTCCAATCTTTATGTGATTATCTTGAGCCTCTTTTCTCACTTGGCTTGGGCAGGACAGGGATTGCCCTCACAATAAATGCTGCATTTTGATGACTTATTGTCTTCCCTTCCCCAATATTTCTGTTTAAATCATCAGAGATGTGGGTGTGAACACTAGGGTAATGATTAGGGGTGGTTGAGCTGAAAGGGGGAGGGAGGTGAAGAATAGAAAAGATAAGAACAAAAATCAATGTGGTAGACGCCACCAAGATGCCCCAAGGATTCTTACTTCCTGGTACTCATTCCCTTCTATATCTCCCTTCCACATCAAGTATGGCTGTCCTGTGTAAATAATAGAATACAGTAGAAGCGATGTGTGATGTCTGAAGCTAGGTTACATTTAAAAACTTGCCATTTCTATCTTGCTCACAAAAACTGTGCAACCTGTGATATGTTTCCTCAATTCTAATCCAACCATCTATTTGATGTTATTTTTAGAATCCCACTTCTAAGTTCAAATCCTATATTTTTAAGGTCACAGTAAGCTACTGTAACAAAGTGACCCCAAATAAAGTGGCATAAAGAATATAGAATATTTCTTCCACTGATATTCTATTAATACAAGCAGAGTCATATGGCTATACCTAATTAAAAGGGAGGCTGGGAAATTTAGTTTATCTGAGTAGCCTTGTGCCCCAAAAGGAGGGATTTGGGTAAGTAGCTAGTGTCTACAACCATTGCTCCTTAAAATGACTCAGGAAGAGTTTGGATGTCATTATAATTCTAAGACCACTAAAGAAATGGAGTTAGTAATTTAAAAATGTTCACATTGAAAGAGACTAAAAACAAGAGACAAGGTGTTGATAAAGTTAAAATGGATAAATAACTTGTAGTTAATTCATACAATGAAAAACTATACAGTAATGTATACCACAGCTAGAGCTACATGCAACGACATGTATAAATTTAACAAATAATAATGAGCTAAAGTAAACAAAAATGAGTACATGTGTATAATTTTACTTGGGGAGAAATCCAAAACAGGCAAAATTAGTGTTGTTTGAGGACACATGCATAGGTGGTTAAGTTAGAGAGAGTAGGGAGGCAATAGCTATCACATAAGTTAGGATAGTGGTTGCCTCTAGGGAAGATGGTGACTGTGGTCAGGGCAAGGTACATGGGAAACTTCTGGTATACTGGCAATATTACATTTGCGGACCTAGATTGTGGCTTACATCAATATTTTCTTTATAATCCTATCTAATAATAGACAAACATGGTAACTGACCATACCTTTGTGACGCCTCCCATTGGCTAATCAGCGCGATATGCAAATTAACCACCAACAGAGATGGTGACTAATTTGAATACTGCAGGCAGGGTGGGACAGTGCCATCCTGCCTGCCCCGCTGCCATCCGAGACTGCTATCTGCGACCCAGGGCTGCGGTCGTCCCGTGTGCGACCCAGCTTGGGGCAGCTGGGCGGTGTAGCAGCGATTGGCTGGCCCGTCTGGCCGCCATCTGGGCGTCCCGTGTGTGACCCAGCTCGAGGCAGCTGGGCGGGGCAGCAAAGGCTTGAAGGCGGCTCCGGCCCGAGCGAAGGCCTGGGTCCTGGGTGCCAGAGGAAAACCGGTGCCGGCAGCCAGGGAAGGGAAAGCCTATTGCACACATCTTTTTGTGAAACAGGCCTCTAGTGTATATATATAAAAGTCTAAGTGACCAGACGACTGGACAGCCAACCAGTAGCTACGATGCACACTGACCACCAGGGGGAAGACACTCAACTCGGGAGCTGCCCCCTGGTGGTCAGTGCACTCCCATAGCGGGAGTGCCGCTCAGCTGACCAATGGGTATCGGCTCACAGCTGGTGAGCGCAGCTGTGGCTTCGTGAGCCTCTCCTGCAGACACTCCCTCTGCACACCCCTCCCCCATCCAAACTGGGACCAGGATCAGAACCCAGTCCCAGTTCAGAACTGACTGGCTGTGAGCCTGTGCGAGGAGCAAGACTGTGATGACAAGTAGCGGCTGCGCAGTCATGGGCATGCTGGTATCTCCCTAGGATGGGCGCATGGAGATTGCAGTGGAGTGGCAGTGAGTCTGCTGAGCAGTGGCGACCGCAGGCGTAGTGGGGCCAGTATGAGCGGGAGTGATGTGGCGCCCCTGCCCAGGCTCAGGCTTCTCCCCAGCCGCCTGCTGCTTTGCACACTACTTAGTACTGTGCGGGATCAATGTGGACAGCGGGCTGGAGCCCGATGAGCTGGCAAGTAAGGCTGGGCTGTGGCGGTGCAGAGATCCACTGATCCCCACAGGCCAGGCCAAGGGACCCCCACCAGTGCACAAACCTGTGCACTAGGCCTCTAGTCTATATATATGAAAGCCTAAGCGACTGAACGACTGAATGACCAGCCGACCGGTCGCTGTGAAGCGCACTGACCACCAGGGGACAGATGCTCAATGCACAGGATCGGGCTCCCTCCTGTCTGGATCAGGCATACAGGGGTCGGGCTAAAACTGGCTATCCGACATCCTCTGAGGGATCTCGTATTGTGAAAGGGCACAGGCCAAGCCGAGGGACCTCACCAGTGCACGAATCCATGAATCCATGACTCCATAACTGCACATATGTATTTTATAAACCTTAAGGTATATATGATATATCTCACAATAGATTTTTCATGGACATGTAAAAGATAAGTCATCTTCAAAAAATAAAATGAAGGGCAGGGATATGCCTAATAATAAAAATGGTTTAGGAAGGAAGAAAAAGATGGCGACCGGCAAGAAGGTAGGGAGGGAGAGTGTGTGAGAGAGTGAGGGAGCGATAGAGGAGTGTGTGGATGTGTGTAGTGTGTGTGTGTGTGTGTGTGAGTGAGCTAGGGACATTTAGATCCTGCAGGTCTTCCAGGGGGCTGCCAAACTGGGCAGTCTTAGATGGCGAAATCCCGCTGCCAATGCAAACACTCTAGGGAGGACATCGCTGGCACAGAAACCACACCATCTTGAAGAACAGAACTGTTTGAGACTAGGATCCTAGCCTCACCACCACCCAATCTGGTCTCAGATGCAAACCAGGACCCTACAGCCACTCAGGTAAACGACCTGAGACCATATCTGCAGACCCATGAACACCAAGACTCCAGGCATCCAGGCCGCGGATTTCTGTGAGTCACAGAGCCCATCCCCCTCCCCACCGGCCTGCAGCAGCAGCATAGTAACTACCGGACCCTCTACACGCAAGCAGGTCTCCTACCCACACACAGCGGCAGCAGCACTACCTGAATTTGAGACTGGGTGCACGGACACGGGGAATTTGTTTCCTGCAGTGCACACCCGTGTGACCAGACCGCACACCCACACAGGGAGGCTGCGCTGAATTTGAGCCTAGGCACACAGACATAGGGAATCTGTTCCTTGCAGCACACGCTCACACGACCAGACCCCAGGCTCACACAAGGCAGCTGTGCCACCTGACTTTGATTCTGGGTGAGGACACACGGAAGTCTGTCTCTCACAGCACAGGAGTGGACCTCCCACCAACACAGGGCGGCTGTGCAACCCCGTCCCCCAAGCAGACCAGGGACCATCATTCTCCATGCAAGAGGCAGCACTGAGCACCAGTGACTTGACTCTGTTTCTCATCACCTGCTCACGGGATCCCTGATTTCAAGTACATGCACACTAAGAGCCAGTGATTCTAATTCTCAGTGCATGCACACACAGGGACTCTGATTCTTGGCACGAGGTTGCACCCAGCAACAGAGACTCCAATACTCAATTCTCAGTGCAGGCACAGGGGGACACTGACTCCTGGCATGAGCTAGAGGACTCTGATTTTTGGCACACAACAGCAGGGTCTTTTTTTCAGCATGGCGCAGGTGGGGTTCCTGATTCTAGGTGCACACACGAGGCCGCACTGAGCGCCAGTGACTCTGATCCTGGGCAAGTGTGGCTCCCACAGACCCACAGCAGCCACACGTCTTGGTGTCAGAGCTCTTCAGTGACACTTAGGTGGCAC